CTCTCTCTCTCTCTCTCTCTCTCTCTCTCTCTCTCTCTCTCTCTCTGGTACTGATACAGTACTGATATTTGTTTGTTTTCTTTTCGGTTGTTACTTTATGTATCGGTTTGTATGGTTTCATTCATTGTTACTTTTTTTTCTTCTTTCGATTTGAGGTCTTATAATTGTTTGCTTGCTCTTTACTTTAACTATTTTGCGATGTATTTAATGAGTTTTGTGTGGTATTTTGTTGGATGGCCGCCGAAAAGCTGAGCCATTGGGCTTGTTCTTGTGCCTGTTGTTCTTGTCGTGCTTTGGCAAATAGTTCCTGTTGCTGGCGCAGCAGCTCTTCTTCGGGTATGCCTAAATTTTCCAATCGAGTCGATTGTCGGCGTCGTTTAGCCGCAACCGCTTTGCAATCCATGAGCACAGCCTCCGCATCTTGTTTGTAATCTTTGAAACCTAGCCGATCTAGCGCCTCCAATACGTGTTCTGCATTAATTGTTTTCTTATTTCGTAAATTACACACTTCGTTCGCTTCCGAGCTAATCAAATGGATAAATTCGGTGCAACAGTTCAAAATCAGTTCACGACTTTCGTTCGCCACTCGTATTGACGGCACCTTAAAAAAGACAACAACAATAATGTCAGAATGTCAGAATGACAATTTGCTAGTAGACCGATGTTCCAATGCAATTTTGTATGCTTACCAATTCTTTGATCATTTTATTGATGCTGGCTCGTGGCAGGGTTAAATCATCGTCATCGGCTGAGGGTGGCGGACACAATTCATCGTGCGGACTAGTCATTGTGTTGAGTCTTTTTTCTATTCGGTTTGCTCGCTTTTGGCTCCTTCAAAAACTGTTCTGTTTATTATTTTGGTCAAGGCGTACGCGTTTGTTTGTCTTCGTGCACTTTCGAAAATCGAAATCACACACAGCAATTTTTGTTTCTTTATTAGTAAAATTAAACACAATATCACGATTTTAGGCAAGTCAATTCAACGGAAATTCCGTTTCAATTGTATTCACAATTGTTATTTTCGGTTTTGCTTTACGATTAAAACGATAAGTGTATATGGTTTTTATTTCTATTTTTGTTTTTGTTTTGCTTCTTTCTAGTGGTAAAACAAGCAAATCAGTCGAACTTTTTCATTTTATTTTTCGACGCACAAATGACACTTTGATGTGTCAAACTCATGCTTCTCATCTTCGTACACAAGCACGCATACACATACACACATACTTGCACAGTGTTCGCACATGCATGCCCGAGCACACCATTCAATCAGCACACAGACCAATGAATTAACACATGTCATACACAACAACCAGAGGAAGAGAAAGAGAGAGAGAGAAACACTCATTTCGGTCGAGTGTGACAGATACCAATGCGATGTTTGTAAACGTTAGACACTTACACCGCTGAAGGTTGTTGATCAGAATGAGTGATTTAAAAAGTGAATTTTATACAAAATCCCAACTAAATCGATCGATGTGAAAGTTTAATAGTCTCCTGAAATCAATTCAAATTTACACGAAATCATGAGTGCCGAGGGTTTTCACGACGATTGCATTGACTTAATCAACGAATACTGTAGTCGAAATTCAACCGATTTTCAGCTGTTTTGTGATATTTGGAAGGAGAAAGGATTTCATTATGTATTTTAGTGAGTGAATAATTGGTGGTCAGCTGGAAATTCGTTGATTTTTTACCGTTTTTTCTTCTATTATCTTGTCTTGTTTCAGTTTTTTTTACTCATTTCCATCAATTTCTCATTTATTCTACAGCGGACACACTCATCAGCACGAGCTGCTATTGTATACAGAAAATTGTTTTGTGATTCTAAAGAATATTTTTACCGGTTCAACAACGATTGGAGAGCGATTGGCTACACTGTACTTAATGTATGCGATGTATTTCAAGCAGCCGACAAAAGATTTCTGTAAATTTCGTTATACGCTCAACGATTGGACGCGAATGAAAAATTTCTGCGATGCCATTTACATTGAACCAAAATATTTGCAGGCTCGTGCAATCTTTTGGCGATTGTATCAAAGTAATGCATTTCGATTTGTCGAATGTGATATGGAACATTATCCCGAATCAATGCAATTGCACCGACTGGGCAACGATTGCTTTGGTGATTTTCAGAAGATCAACTCAACGATTCTGGCCACTGTGAATGATCTACAGAATGAGAGCAAAGGACTTATGAGTGCCATCGGAACATTGCAACTTGGATACAATGAGATGAAAGACCATTTTGCGGCCAATATGAATGAATGTGCACATATGCAAAGCATCGATGTGATTGAAGGTGTTGGTTCACAATTGGATAAGGTGAAAAAGTTGTTTGAAAACAAGTATGATAGCCGGTATACGAGGCGAAAACGCCAGGCAACTGCTGGACCATCTAGGCGAGCAAAAGAGTGTGAAACCACTGACTATGATACCGAATTGAATGCATCGTATTCATCATACAGTGAATCAAACGATGATTCAGTTTCGGAGCGTAGTGATGACGATACCATGGATGGGGCATGCCTAAATATTGGCTCGAGGCGATACTATTTGAAACGGAATGCATTGCAGAATGAAGTCGGTGGACTTCATCAGCTTAAAAGTACTGTGATCGCAACGCGTAGTTCACCACGCAAAAAGAATAAATTAGCGGCTCCAAAAGAAACCGAAGCCACAACCAGCAACCAACCGAGCCGATCGACATCGGTCATGAGCTCACCGCCAGAAAAAAGCCGTGTATCGATCGATAATACCAGCGGAAATATTGTGATAAATCGACGGCAAAAAGTTTACAATCGACACTCAAAACAGTATGTTAGCTCGGTGCGCAAACAATTTACGGATTGCCCAAGGTAATTTCAATTGTTAAAATAAATTTAAAAAAAATTCGATCGTTTTTCACAAGATCCAATTCCATTTTCAGCGAGGTCAGCGAAGAGGTCGACATGAGGAGCCCCCGAAAGCACGCTAAACTCAAATGATCACCAAGAAAACTTCATCATTTGACCATTGTTAAAATGTATTTATTTACATAAGTAAAAATAAGAGATGTATCACAAATATCATATTTATTATATAAGAAAAACCATCGACATCTTTCTAAACGTAGACTAGGCGAATTAGATGAAAATGTCAATTCCTGTTGCGTGCTAATTTACTTTCTTTCTGTTGTTAATTGTTGTTCAACGTATCACAATCAGAAGAACTGTAATTTTTTTCTTGCAAAAATAAAAACCATCCTGTCTATGAAATGAATTAAGAAAATGTTTGATCATTTGCGGTGCAAAATGAGAAATTCAGAGGTTTGTACGTGTTTCACATTAATACCTAACTTATGGCCTATGCAAATTTTTTTTTTCTATCCGGTGAGATTAGAAAAATAAATAAATTTCAAATGTTGATGTGCTTTTGAATGCTCGGGATGAACAAGAAAAAAAAGGGAATGAACCGAGATTCAGGTGGTAAAAATGTACAATAGAAATGGTGCCAAATCAAATTGTACTTGGTGAGAATCTAAATTAAGCAACTAATTTTAGAATTTTGCACGGTGGCCTATACACCATCCACATAGTATCGCGGCTGGAACGATTGTGCGATTGGACCAAGGACATTTTCCAAATAATCGTAGAATTGAACACATTTTGATCTGAAACGATAAACAAATGTGACCGTGAATTGAATTAGAAGGTAAATTTGGTTTTGCAACGTACTTGGTATTCAAATCGAACGAGCTGCCCCACAGTACGACACCATCGCCGCCAATACTCTTCACTGTGTTGAGCGCTTCATAAGTATCTTTCTGCAGATCAAACAAAAAGCAGATGAGCGTGGAAAATCATGATTGGGCACTTTTTTGAATTGGATCACAAATTTGGATGAATTCAAGGCAAAATTCAAGAATATTGATAAAGAATGACAACCATTTTCTGGGCTATTTTGCCTTATTTCAACTTGACACGATTGTGACTTTTTTCAATAGATGGCGCTGTATGTGTCACATGTAAATACCATAGATAATCTATGAAAAACTTTGAACTTTCATTGATTTTGGGTTTTTTCAATAGATGGACTTATAAATTTCACGTACAAATATCATGAAAAGTTCAAATAGGGCAAAGCTGGTAGTCATTCTTTTTATTTGATTTTTCAGTTCTTTAAAAAATGCTTCAAGCTAAAAAAAAATTGTCAAAAAATCCAAATAAAAATGCTTTTCCAAACCATGAAACTGCCAAATTACCAACTTTTCGCACTTTTCGGTTATTTTACCTGATTTAAGTACTTTTTAGTGTCAGTGAATACATATCGAAAATAGGCGATAACTCTTGGTTTCTGCGGATTTCGCGAACGTCTTGCCAATCGAATTGATTCCTTTACGCGACCACGTACCATTCTCGCTCGATCATTTGGTAGGATTTGCTCGGTCATATATACAGATGGGTAAATGACATCGGATGCATCGTAAATCCATTGAGTTCTAACAATTGACACAAACATAGTTTAGAGAAAGCAAGTGGAAAAAAAAAGAATTAAAAGATCAAAATTGTTATGATTAAAGAGAATCGCAATGAATGTCGAAAATATTTCTTGTCCGCGTTCGTGAATTGTAATCTTTTGCGAATTTAAGAAATCGAATCGAAATATCTACCTGTTATTTTCCTCTTTAACTTCACGCGGACAGTCTTCGATGGATGTGCCTTTGCTATTGAAGCAGTACGGCAAACCATAGTAGCCCCATTTGGCGCGTGGTCGCATTTTGCGCGCCAAATCAATAGAACTTTCTATAAATGTTCGCCCGGCTTTTTCAAAGTTTCGTGTCGCTTCGGCTTCGATACGTTTGTTCGGCATCAGCGGATGTCGTTTTCGTTCGATTTGCTCCGATAAATCACGGTATGGTTGTAATGTACCGAAATTTTGCCGATAAACCGGTCGCCATGATTCAAAGTCAATGATAGCCAGTCCATCGTTGTTTGAATTGGGAACCAATTCGTTTACATGCTTTTGAAAGACTTGCAAATGTTCATTTAGATTTCCTTGCTGTGGAACACCTCCGTTTCTCTGCACCAATGCTCTTGACGACGAATTTTCCAATAATGCCGGAAATTTACCCGGATCATACAGTATCGATATTGCTGATCCACTAAAGAAAAAGTCATTGTAAAAGTAACTTTCATTGAAAATAACGGTTAAAAACGACATTTCATTAACTTTCATTCACACACAAAAGAAAGAAAAAACGTTTTAAAGTTTGTCGAACAGTCGAAAAATAAACAGAGTATTGAAAATTGAAAGGTATAAAATTTGCTGGAATGAACTGAAAGTAATGTAAAACAGGTTTTTCTTTTCTTTCTCTCTCTCTCTCTCTCTCTCTCTCTCTCACCGAAATGCGTCATCTTCATTCTGCACGATGCCGTACTTTTCGGTCACATTAATCGGTGGCAATTTGAACTGTCGGCACATAAACGACGGAATATTCCAATACAGGGTGAATGGCCTAAAAATAGATGGTATATGATAAAGAACATTCTTATCCAAATGATATGCAATGAATCATTTTGCATGAAAATTGAAAAAAAAACACGAAAAAATTAAGGTTAAGAATGACAATGAAAAATTGAATCAAGTAAAAAATATTCTTGAATAATATTACAGAAAACTCAATAAAATCAATTCAGTTAGAAACAACTTTTCTCAGAAAATGTGAGTGATCAATTTTTCAATGTTTCAATTTGAAAATGAATCGAACATGCGCGTGTCCGGTTTCAATGAAAACAAGAGCGTTAATCAAGCATAGTGCTAATGCTAAATGACTTAATTTGTATCCTTCATGCACGTCAATCGGCATATTAAATAAAGAATCTCACTTACTTTGCATCGATGAGAGCGACCGCAAACCAGTTGTACACAAAAAATTGGATAACCACAGTGATTCTGATGTGAGACGATCTCATCTTGTTGTTTTGTTTTTGTTTTGGTTGATCCAAGTGCGAATTGATTATGATCGAAAATTTACACTTGTCGCTCGCTTATAAGAGCATGCAAGATTGAGGCAGAGTAAACAAAACAAAACCGTTTCAAGTTTATATCAATGTCTTCTGTGGCATATAATACGTATCAATTTTTTCTTTTTCGTCTTCAAAACAATTAATTCACTTGCGAAAGAAGTTGTCGTTAGTATTTACTTATTAGCGTATCAATTATAGTTTATAAAAACATAAACACGAAAGAAAAAAAATCTGCTTGAATTACTCGAATTAAAGTATATTTGGGTGTTCAAAATTTATTCCGTTTTATGTGCAAACAAGTGAGAACAAACAAACAAACTGGGATAAAAAAAAGAGTGCTGTGTCGACACCTTCAATGTTTCTGGTTTGTCCTTTTCAGCATCACTTTAGTGTTTTTTTTATTTCGATTCCATTTACCCCGTTTACATCCGCGTGAGAGATCAAAAAAAAAATTCCGCGCTCAAATCATTTGTAAATATTACACTAGAATAAAAAACGCACACACACACCAACACCCGATTCGGCAAATTCCTTTTGATACGGGAGAAGGTTTGCGATCTCGTTCACGGTCATAAAACTGTTTTAATATCTATCTCACCATTGCATATGGATGATTAACAATAAATAGTGAAATTTGTACGAATAAAAAGCAGCACAAAATTACAAATCGTTTTATGGGATTCTCAATGCAAAATGGAAAAAAATGTGTCAATTACTTTACACCGTATCTACCTAAGCTCTTTCTTTCTTCCTTTTTTATTGCTTTTTTATCGAGCGTTTAACGTCGAGAACAAGAGGCAATTCGACGAACTATTTTAATGGTAAATTTTTCCAACGAGAGAAAAACTGTTGGTGATGAACTAGATTTTTTTTTTTGGTTAGCAAATCACCTTTTGATACTGTGTTACCCAAAGGATTTTTCAAGTGTCGAACTAAAGATTTTTTTTTTCGTTGACCGAACACAACCGAATTCGATCGGTAAATAAACCGAATGAAACAAAATTTTTAATGATAAACACACACACAAAAAATGCACAAAGAGGAAGAAAACGGCACGATTTACGGGCAATCAATTAATTATTACATAAAAACAACGAGAGAAGTCGCGCGCGCTTGTATCATTTATAAATGAAGAGAAAAAAAACGGCGACAATTAAGACTCGGCGGTGGTGTGTGTTAGCGCCTTAACAACGACGGTGATGGGATCCGAGAGCGAGAGAGAGAGAGACGGGATAATGGTATGGTTCTAATGTTGCCAATTTGGTGAATGTGTCGCAAGTGTCTATCTCCAGTACGCTAATTTTCGCTGTGATATTTAAGCCGAATTAATTGTAAGTTGTGGCACATGGTGGGAAAGTCGATTAGATCGGTTGGGTTTTGTGTTGCGCGTGCGAACGTCGACCACGAGCACTTGTGTGATTATGTGTGCACAGCAGCTAATCAACTCCAGTTATATAGATCGAGACAGACTTTTGCTTAAATTATTTATTATATGATGATGCACACACGTTTTTAGCGAGTTGTTTACGTTTTGATGCTTTTCTTTTTTTTCTGCTTGCACACACCGTCACAACAACATCGCTATCGCTGTTACTCTTCTATTCCGTGTCTTTCCTTTCTTACCCATTCTCAGTTTGCATTTACTTTATGCAAACATCACCAACACTCGCACAAATTTCGGCTTCACACATCAAGCAAGGTGAGTATTTGCCGCTGGAAAGAAAAAAGTGAACAATGTAAAATACCGACAACAGCCTGTTTCAGAAGCCAAAATGTAAACAATTCGCATTGAATGGGCAATCGATTAGATGCAATCAATTTTCACAAATGGCCAATACCTGGAGGGTAAAGGATGTTTGGTGTGTCAATTTGATAAAACTCTTTTGCTTTGTGAGTTTGTGCAAACCATGTTAGCTGTCAACTGGATAATGTCCACCGCAGATTTATAGACTGGCAATTTCGATCAGGTGTGGTATGTTATGGCATTTTGGTGCAGTTTATTCAAATTGAACGTTATTTGCAATCGCAATGTGTGTAACATAATGCGAATACGTCGCGATTGTTGTCGATTTTATTTTTTGCATACACAAACACTCACACACACACACACACACACACACACACACACACACACACTCGTTGTCTCTGTTAATTCGATCGTGGCCACAAGGTGACTATAGAAATGGAGAGACAGTAAAAAAACGCACCACTTGTAAATGTTAAAATGCTTTTGTATCAATAGAAAAATAATAGATAAAATCGTGTGCAATGTGTATGAGCGTTAATTGTTTTTGCTTACATAGTAGTTAGAGATAGATCGTACGAGCATGCACGCCTTCAATTTATTTACGAAAAATGCGGCGGTTCGGTGTTTTTTTTTTCGTCGCATTTCAATATAAGTCATTTAGATGTTTGTGTTTTTTTTCGTTTCCATTCGTCTGATAGGTAAGGCGCAGCCGTTGCTCCATTCTTTTGCACTAGTGTGTGCTGTTTCTTTTCGCTCTCTGTATTTTCAATTTAGTGTCGTTTGCATTTTTTATGGCTGATATTTTATGCTAAATAACGTATGCGGTAAAACGTGAATGCGACAAACAAATCAGTTCAAAGTACACTTCAATTAACTAGATACTACGACTCCACTAAATAAATAAAGCGACTGAGTAGAGAAAAAAAAAGGTAACTCGCTATTTTCACCGTTACTCTTTTTCCGTTTCGGGGCCGGTATTCAATCAAGGCAAGCATGCCCATATTTAAGAAATCGAGGAAAATAAAAAGCACGCCATTCAAATATAGACACAATGGAATGAAATGAAACAGAAAAAGAAACGGGCACCACAAAATTTTCGACAAAAAAAATTCCGAAAAATAAAACAAAAACATATGCTGGCTGCTGACATTCAAAATTCCATCGGTAAAGCCAAGAGTGCGGAAGTTCAATGGTACGGTAATTAAACTACAAAAAAAACCGTTTTTTTTCGCGCACGTATGTGCCATGCCGCGTTCATATGAGGCAAAGAGTACGTGTCGTCGTTGTTGCTGTTGCTGCGATTGTTGACGTCGATGTCACTCATTTACACTCGTACGCAGTTCGTTGACCGAATTTCGGCTAATTCAAATCAGAGCTTTTCTGTTCTTGACACAGTTCCCATTCACCGACCCAATTTACTCACTATTACTGACCAGCTGCACTTTATATTGTGCGCTTCCCGATTTATTTTTTGAATGTTTGTTTCTTTTTTTTTTGTTCTGTGTGGAAAAATACACATTTTCACATTCATCAGCTGGAATGGAATTATACACGAATATATTAGCACATGTGTTGGTTTTCACGATAATCATGTATTTATTCTGTTTTCAAATTTAAATTTTATAGTAAATGACTTTTTCCATGAAATTAGATCTTACATACGAGTCGTATGATATGGCACCAATCTACAATTATGATCTATATTTTCATGTTCGTTCAAGATTCAAATCAGGAAAGATGGCATTTTTATCGCGGAAAATTTGTGGAATAAAAAAACTTATCGTTTTTTCTGATGTGGCATCAGCTGACTGTGTAGAGAAACTAGCTTCCTGGAACTATTGTAATATTAATGTTAAATGTTTAAGACAATAATTTCGAAGCGTAGATTTTTGATTCTTTGAAAGTCTTTACACGTAAAGAAAAACAAACATTGCAAAGAATAATTCTATATCCAAATCAAATTGAGTGAAAATGTTGGAGTTTTCATGAAAAACGTTTGCTTTTCAGATTAAGGCAGAACTCAATAAAGGAGTTTTTAAGTTTGAATTTGCAACGATTTTTTCTTTGTATTTTTGTGATAAAGAATTGTCTTCATTTCTGGTAAAACGAGATTGCAAAGGTTTAGCTCTAGCGGAATCTTTCCATCACCCTAACTTAAAAAAAATAAAGATTTATCATAATTTTTTGATTAACAAAAAAAAGTGATGAATTCATTTGAATGAGGCCAGGTGCGTGTAGTAAGGTTTTGCCACTTTTTTCATTTGCAGAACTACTCGATCTTGCATAATATCCATATCTATACATTATGCAGCATTTTCTTTGGTATTCGTTGTAAGTGTAGTAATAGTAATAAAACACAAACACGGCGAAAAAGTTCTTGATTCCTTAAAATATTCTGAAATTAAAATAAATTTGCTACACAAAAACCCAATTTTTGTGTAGAAAAGGGTCTACTACACAAGTGCGGAAGAAAAACACCACAGATCATCTGAGTGTGTATTCTATGACTCAGAGAATTTTATTATTCTCATTTTGATGGAATGTGCACGAGAGAATATTTGCAGTGAATAATATAAAAAAAGATGGCAAAAGTTTGGCTCTAGCTTATTTAATAAACTTTATTTTATTTTTAGCTTTTGATGAATTCCATTGAATGAAACTATTTTTGGTATACGACAAATAATATCATGTGATATATTTCAATAATCTGGATTTGATTTAGCGTTGAAATAAATATCAAAACATGATAATCTCAAAATAGCGAATTCATTCTTCTGGTTCGTTCTGCTTCCTATTGCTCGCTCCGGTTCATAGTTTGACATAGTGAGACTGTTTGCTGATACCGATTATATTATCAAAAGCTGCTCACGTGCCCGCATTTACTTACATAGAAATCTGCGGATAGTATATTCCGATAAATCGGATTAAATGTTCCTAAACGACAATTTATGAAAATATACTATCCGCAGATTTCTTTGAGAGCAAAGCTATCGCATTGCATACAGCACGATATTCATAAGCTGAATCGGACATGAATCGCGATAACTTGAACAGCATGTTCGAATGTGCAAACAATAGTCCGAAACGACGATCATGGTGCAGTTCTCTGATAATAATGTCATAGACGCCGTTTGAGCTGCATATGCAAAAACTATTTTCATCTGTTCAAAAGAGATTGTAAACTACGATTAAAAAAAATTGTCATCACAGTTATGCGAATGTTTAATGAATTCAAACTGCGCAATTAGCCAAAAAGGGCGAAATGTTTGAAACTCTATAGCAAAATAATATTTAGTTTTTTCTCTTCAAAAACTGTTTGACTGTGTCCCATTTGAAGTGATGAATCGTCAAAGTGAACACAATGGAACTATGGTCATTACTCCCATCTGAGTTAATCTTTTCGGTTGATAATCATATCAGTTGACTTTGAGATAGCTCTAAATTATTCGTAGCTTCAGTTTGCGTTGCAAATACATCGCATGAAATCGTTAAATTTCGTACAACGAACGTGTTCGTTGTCGTTCAATTCAACTGCATTCCAATTCATTTTGAACAATAACATTGAGAGCAATCTGTTTTGGTTTTTCTCTCGTTCTAACTCTTTGGCTGTGATTGAAATGCAGAACAGAGTTGAACCTGTTTCAATTCCACTGAAGATCGAAAGATATTAATTTTGTGGCAGCTGGACAATGGCGAGCACAGGCGATAACAATGAGCTGTGATTATTGAGCGAATAAAATGTTTCAATTGGAATTCACCCGTTGTGACCGTTTCTTTTTTTTCTGTTTGCTGTTGTTTGGTTTCCATGTGTGTCGTCGTGTTCGGTCAAAAGTGTAAAACGGCCACTGACATGTTATCACTTTGAATAGATCGTTTCCGTATGAAGTTCATAAAAAGTGAGCACTGAACGCCCATTTCAAGCATTCTACATATTCAGTTGTGTCGATCGGTGGTAGAGATTTGGTCAACGTTCAAGCGACCATTCGTTTTTATTCATTTTTTGTTTTCATCTGGGTCGTCTTCTTTTTTTCGTGTGTTAATTCAGTCAATTTGTTTGATCGTTATTGCGATGCGTGTACACGTTTTTTCAATAATTTTCACGTGCTTTGTCTACGAGGCTGTGGCGCTAGCAATAAATTCAAATATTGCACCAACAACGCCATCAAATAATACCACGAAGGTAATTGAAAACGAGAGACGAAAGTGGTTTTAATTAACTAAATCGATTCGAATATCTTGTTTTCAGCTTCACGTTGCCATTTACTATGAGTCGTTGTGCTCCGATTCAATGGATTTCCTCACAAATCAATTCGCTCCAGCATACGATTCGCTAAAAGATTATATGGATGTGCTTTTTGTTCCATTTGGCAAAGCAGAGGTATAATTTAAATTTGAAATTCAATTGGTTTCGGTTTCATGGAACACTTTTTTTCGCATTTATTTCACCATTTGCATACCGATTTTATTGATTTTGACACATTTTTTTTTCTCCATCGATGAAGAGTGAAAACGGTGGACAGAATTTCTACTGTCAACATGGTCCAGCCGAATGCACGGCAAATCGCTTACAATCATGTGTTTTGGACATTTTGAATAACGATCAAGATGCTAAAGCCAAATTTGTTTCATGCCAAATGAAATGGAACGCTGAATATACCGGTCGAAAGGTTTGTGGGCTATATTTTAGTCTGAATTTCGACGTTTTCATTTGAAAACCAATGGAGAAATAGTTTTGTTAATTTGTTCTCAATACTTGAACAATTTAGTGTGCTGAATTGGTGAGTGCTTCTTATGCGGACGTGCAAAAATGCTCGACCGGCCCACAAGGTGTTCAATTGCAATTGAATGCTGAAAAGGAAACTCAATTCGTTGCCAAACCATATCCATCATTCATTCCAACTATTGTGTACAACAAGGTAGAACAAAGCTCTATATTCTTTCTATGATTTGGTTCAAACATTCGGTACTGAATCAGATGTTTTTCTTTTTGAATTTTGAACAAATTTCTTCTTTTTACGAAGAATTCGATTTAAATCTAATTTATAATCAATTTAATCATACATAAAAACTATATAACAAATCTCCATTTTTTCTTCTTTTTAGCAATACAACCGGAGCAAGCAATGGCGATCGTTGCGAGATTTCAAGAGAATTGTATGCGAAGAATTGGGTCCACTTGTAACTACGTCTGATGAATTATCAAAAACATGCGCTAGAAATTGATCAGTTTTACAAATTGAAGCACTTTTTTTCCGTGGTGCATTTAGTTAATACTTTCGTATGAACTTTATTCCACTTTACTCGCATCGGTGTTCATGTTTTGAATATAAAATTAGAAAATAAGCCGTTAACAAAAACAATGTAAATGAGCTGTGGTTCAGATCACCATCACGTACAAATTATCGCTGCCTAATTTCAATAGAGCGCCGCTTCAGTTTGATATGCGTCAACAAGAATGGTCTTTTGTTCAATTGAAAGCCGATATGAACGAAAGCGATTTCCCCGAAATTCTGTCGGTGAACCAATAAAATGAGCCCGTTTCCAAGCGAAACCTTTAGTTTTTCTTTCACTTTCTTACGATAGATTTCACACTGAAGGACACCGAAGCTTGGATTCTACTACGGTTTTCAGTTCAATTGAAGTGCTCGTGTGAAATAATGTCGTTGAAATTGGGTGCTATTTTAATTTGCCTTAGTTATTTCGCAAGTTTCGAGGCCAAAATTCTAATGTCAACGAGAGAAATTGAAAATAGCATTGAAGAAAATGCAATGGAATCAAAAGACACGGGAAGGATAAATTTGTCGATGCCAGGTAACAGAAGAACTGAGAGAATTTTGTGATTTTTTTTTCTATTCAAAATCAAAGTCCATTAAAAAATAATTAATCTCTTTTTCAAACCATTGTTCTCAAATTCGTTCATTTTCAATTACCAAAGGTACCAAATGGTAAGTTCAAATGACATCGAATTGTCGATTCAAAAAGAGTAAAATGCCATTTAAAAACCGATATTTTTTTCATCCTTTGCCCAAAAGGTGTGGCCCGGGTAATACAGCTTCTTCGTACGATGATTTGGGACGACACAAAGAAGTCGATATGTGCTGCCGAGATCACGATCACTGTGACAATATTCCAGCTGGTGAAACCAAATATAATCTAACCAACCGCGACTATTTCACTGTCCTCGATTGTAATTGTGATCATGAGTTCCGTAATTGTCTGAGAAAAATCAACTCCAAAGAATCGAATCGCATTGGTCGCATGTATTTTACACTACGAAATCATTGCTACCACGATGATAATCCAATTGTTCGTTGTGATGATTATGATACCGAAGTATTTTTACATCGTTGCATCCACTATGTTTTGGATGATTTGCAGTCAAAGCGATATCAATGGTTTGACTTACCGCTTTACTACGATCGAAATGAGCGCGACGCCCTGGACGATGATGTTTATGACTTTTAAACTGGGAATTCCATTAGCAGAGAGAGAGAGATAGAGAGAGAGAGAGAGAGAGAGAGAGAGAGAGAGAGAGAGAGAGAGATAGAGAAATGAATAAACAACAATCAAACGACATGTTCATTCTGAATGATTGGTACTTTTATTGTTTTGTTGTTTGTGCTAGTTCTTTTAAATAGAAACATGTTCTGTCCAAATAAAACTGTAAAACGTTAAAATAATTGTACAAGCGTAATTTAATTCTTAATCGTCCATAATCGACTCCGGTTGATAAATGTTTGTGCTGCTGTTTTTTTCTTCTGCATTGCTGTTGTTGTTGATAAAATCTGTGTTGTGTGTGTGTGTGTGTGTGATTGTGTGCATTGGTGAGCGTTAATAGTTTACATAAAATGGATGATCAATTGGCTTAGCATTTGATTGAGTTTATTCCTTAGATTTTAAATGCTTTTTTTTGTTGCTCTTTAAATGACTTTTTGGATTAGGAAACAAATATGGTGTTTTTTTTTTGCTTAGTCAGCTTGTTAAATGTGCATTATGTGCTTCTTTTCGTCTTACTTTTATCCAGAATTGTATAGCATATGGTGTTCTGTTGTTATTCTCTCGTGTTTCTGTTGTTTTCCTTATTTTAGTATAAAATATAATTTTTTCATTATGTATAAAATACACACATTCCCTTACATTTGACATAAAATTAATTTTTGTGTGTGTGAATCACAATCACATCGCCAATTATCATGTTATATATATATATATATATATTGTTTTCATATATTTATTTATAGGTTGATGATGATGTCAACATACACATATGACACCCATAGAACAAAAGAACATCTTATGAGCTCTTTATCCATTACTGGACATTTTCGTCTCAGTTATGGATAAAGAGCTCAAAAGTTATTCTTTTGTTCTATGGGTGTCATATTCATCACGATTATGTATAGAAAAAGAACAGAATCGTTTTTTCTGCGTTGCTCCTCATATTTTGGACATCATCATTTACGACATTAATCAAACACACACACTCTCTATGCCAGATTCACAAAATGTCACACTTGCTGTTAATGTCTCATTAAAACAGTTAATTTTTCTTCTTCTATTAAATATACAATAAATCATGATAATTGTCTATCTTCCGAAAAAAAATTGTTTGTTCCATGTGCTTTTTGTTTGTTTGTTTTTTTTTTCTTTGGCAGCTATAAAATTAGGTACATTAATATCCATATTAATTTTAAAAACTAAGTTTTTATAAATTACACAAAAAGCCAAGGAGGATTAACCATAAAACGAAGGAGTTTGATTCTCTATATTCAAACCATCGAACGAATCAGATTCAAACGCTCAATACAGACACTCTCTTCTTCGAATAACTAACACAACAAGAGCCTCCTATCCAGTGTCTCCTTTATTCCGGTTGACCAAAAAAATTAGTCATAAATGAAAAAAAAAACAATTCTGCTGATCACATAGTTTTCAAACGGATTCTTTAGTTATCCTTGACTATTATTCCGCTTTTGATAATAATAATTGTATTTAGTGTGTGTGCGCAATGCATAACTTAATTCCACTGCGAATAAAATGAAGATGTTGCAACATTACCGATCGAATTTAAGCACCAATTTTGGTGTGTGCGTGTGTGTGTGTGTGTTGCACATTTGTGCCAGATTCGCGTTCTTGCACGCCTACCACATTTCACATTTTTCGCGTGGGTTCATCGGCGAACCGAGTGGACAATTGAACTCTTCCGAAAATTCCTTTAAATTCGATAATGATCCGATTACACGGAACCGCGGCGGTGAATGCGGATCTTTTTCAATTTGTAAATTGGTTGTTTCATCAGTCACTGCCGAACACCATACCTGCAACATTTAGCGAGAACATTTCAGTGGGTTTTTACCATTATAATTAGAATGAATCACATAAGATCCAACTGAAGAAAATATGGAAAGAAAGTCTTACCTGAGCAAACGAAACGAAAAACAGTTGACGATGCGTCATATTGATACCGGGCAACGGATTTACATCAATCTCATCGACACTTTTTGTTTTGATATAAGCATTGTAGGCAGCCTTCAATCCACCATTATCCGCAATGTTTTCACCTGCGTCAAAAGAAACCACTCAATTCAGTACATTTTTCACGTAAAATAATTTCGTGAGTATAAATTGAACGTCATGAACTGCCATGAAAGGGAATTTTAATCGGGCACCAAATTTCATTTTTTACCCAAAAAAAAAACGTTGCACCCATAAAAAAATGAATTTTGATTAGACTTGCACTTGAACCGTGTATGTATGTGTGGCGGCCATAAAACCGCCAGCAGCATTTCACCGAAATAATGAAGTTGTACACTAACCTAATGTTTGTTTTCCGTTCAAATGTTTCCCGTTGATATCGTATTGATTGTACTGTTTGGTGAAGCAGTTGGCACGTTCCTTGAAACGTTCAATGGTTTTGTTGTTCCACCATTGATGTAAATTTCCGTACTTGTCGTACTCACGACCCTGATCATCGAATGCGTGCGTCAACTAAATAATATATACACAAAAATACCATCAAAGTTTTCGAAATTTTTCCGTTTTTAGCACGATAAAATTCAATATTGAGTAGCGTGATTATAATGGTAAGCAAATAAATACAGATGACTATTCCCTTCCATGTTAGTGATTACAAATGAAAAAAACTACAAGGTGGGAACATATCATTCGAATCAATGTAGAGTGATTTGAGCTTATAATTTGCCTTTCAAGAAGATCAATATAGGCATTTGGTTCATTTTTTTTTCGTACTATGCCTGATACAGGCTATCGCCAAAGAGAGATAGAATATATTTACATTAGAAATAGTGGTAAATGCTAGAATGTAAGAATAGTACTTGAAATATGATTCTAGCGTTATATTATCACGAAAATCAACAGATATTACTACGACAGTTGCTCGGACTATTGAAACTCTAACTAAAATTGATCAAAATAGGGTATAAACCCTAATAAAATATCGAAAAATTGTAAATTTTGTATATACCTCATGACCCATGACAACGGCCATTCCGCCAAAATTTAAGCTTTTCGGATTGTTGATATCGTAGAATGGAAGCTGCAGAATGCCGGCGGGAAAAACGATTTGATTTTTGGTCGGTGTATAGTATGCATTGACCGTTGGTGGTGTCATTCCCCATTTAGTTTTGTTCACCGGTTGGTCCAATTTTTCCAAGTTTTTCTTCAAATTGAACACATTCAGCTTCACGTTATTTTCGAAATAATTGTTTGGATCGATTTCTAGCATTTTGTATCGTTCATCCAGCAATTGTGGATTTAAAATGTAGTCGGGAAAACCAATCATATCGGAAATGGCATCGGCCTTTTCATTAGCCAATTTACGCGTTTCCGGATCCATCCATTCCAAATTTTTTAGATTCTCTTTGAACGCTGCACGTACGCTATTGATCATATTTTCAGCCTGTGGCTTGGCATCACCATTGAACACTTCACGAACGAACATTGCACCAATCGCAAAGCCGATGGCATTGTTTGTGTCTGATACACAGTATCGCCATGGCTCTTCACCGCCATCCGAACCGATTAACGCTTTTCGAAGACCTTTGTACGCATCACGAAACGGTTTCGATAGGCACGCAGTAAACGAACGTACCGTTTGCCATATTAAGTAATTATTCAAAACACTGTCGAACAAAGAAAAAAAAAACAGTTGAATAAAAACTCGAACAAATTTTATTCGAGGAAAATAATTTGTCATTTGTTTAAATTGCGATCAAAAGAAATTGAAGTGAGTCAAAATAAAATCCCGATTAAAGTGCACGAAAAATCGTGAGATGAATTTGCAACAAAATAAGTTAAATGAAAATAGAACGGAACTTGTTCCTTTTCTTCGCCATGGTTTGAAAAAGTAATGAAAAGCAAAAGATATTGGTTTTCATAAGTAATTTTACGAGGGGGCTATTTGCATAAAATACAAACTTTATAGCTCATAAAATGTTGTTGCCTAACAAAAAAGAAATCATACCAAATGAGCTTAGGGCATAGCATATGCCGTATACTTTTCTACGTCTAATTTGGATCTCTAGGCAAAAGCGTATTCATTGCGCATTAAATGAATTTTTCGTGGAATTCCTTTCGATGGGTATAAAAAGGACGCTAGCATTGTTAGCTAACCATTTCAAACGATCATTGAATGAATATTCGAAGAGAGCATCAATCGGATTGACTTAACAAAGAAAAATGTCTGTAAAATGTCAACCAATTAAAAGCTCTCTTAACCAAAATACCTCGCAACAGCTTGAAATAATACTCATGTGATAAATTTGAAATTTTAAAAAGCTTTCATCGAACTTACATTTTGCCATCGTCTGTCTCATTGTATTTCTTCACAATAACGGTTAATTTCTCCAAATATTCGGGCGCATAAACGACAACTCGCTCTTTTTCGGTGACTTTGCGTTTAACAATTCGTAGCGCATCTTCGAAATGTGCCCGCCAATCGATCAATGGTGCTTTTTCCTGTAGCTCTTTCAATGTCATTGGATGATAAAGAAGCTCTTCGTCTCGTCGTTCATCTGATTGCGAAAAATAAATTCATTGAAAAAAATCATTGAAATCGTTCGAAAAATCCCACACATGTATCAATGACGCTTATCTTACCTGGTGGCGCGGTAATTTCGGCCAATTTCGTTTCAAAATCGATGACCGCTTGCATTTGTCGTGTGGCTTCGGTTTCATTGGCACCAAGTAGAACGGCCACTTTGACCATGTAATCCAAATAAGCGGATAGAATTTTTGCATGTGCCGTTTTATTTAAATAATTCTCTTTGGTCGGAAGCGTTAGGCCACCTTGATCAATTTGAATAATGTGTCGCGACGAATTTCGATCATCTTCACCAACCGCCCATCCAAACAAACCGCCCATATTATACTTGTTTTGCAACACTTTCAATGCCACTTCAAGTGACCAATTGGCCGCATTGAATTTATTCGTTGCATTGCTGCTCACATTCCAACCGCCGATATTATGAATTAGTTTCAACATTGGTTCGGCGCCAAGTTTTTCAACCGTTTCATTTTCATCCAAACACGATTCATAGTACAATTTTGCTTTCTTTTCAGCTTTTGATTTAAACATTGTCATTGGTCGTTCGAGTACATTTTTTATCACCAGTTGATTGCGTTGCTCCAATTTACCAAATGTGCCCCACATTGATTTACCATCGGGAATTGGATTCAATTTTATCCAACGATTACAGGCAAAACCATAAAAATCATCGCATGGACTAATTTTCTGGTCAATTGAATTCAGTATCTCGCTGGCCGCATGAATGCATGGCTCCTTTAAACAGGGACCTAAATATACAGGGAGAGAGAGAGAGAGAGAGAGAGAGAGAGAGAGAGAGACCAAAGCAGATAAATTTCATTGACAATAGCAACGAATAAAAAACATGGCCAATTTTGATAGAAAAAATAAATGCGAAAAAATGTATCGATAAAACTCATTGTGCTTACTTATGCCTTGATGATATTGAGAGTGTGCATCGCCGGGCGATCGAGTGCATAACAGGAAAACGATAAATGCGATAGCTAACGTACAAATTGCAATAATTAAATACTTTTCTAATTTGGTTCGCGTTCGCCATAAAGTGACTCCCTGTTGAGATGTGATAGATAAATAAACGGAAAAAAGTCAGAATTAGAGATAAAATGAGCGAGTACGACAGTGAAAATATAATCAAATTCGATTTGTGCACGGTTTTATTTAGAACATTGTTTGGCTAAATGAAATCCAATTACATACAGACATGTATAGATAGATTCTATATGGAATTGCATATTACTACACAGCTGATGCTATCTATTCAAAAATATAATCCGATTTTATTCGGAAAATGTGAGAGAAGAAAAAAAAACCCGAAGCATATGACACAGCGATAGATAGAGACACATAGTGTGAGTTGTTACATATTTGACTTACTTGTGTTGTGTGATAGCGTATGTGCATTGACGGGATGGTTGTGGTTTCATTCAAATGTATCGACCTCGAGCCAATGCTGCTCGTGTCTTCATCAGCAAAATCGGCTTGCTTGTATCGGGTCATCTGTTATGAAAACACAGAGAGAAACATTATACGTTAAACATTTTCGCTCCGCTCTCTCTCTCTCTCTCTCTCTCTCTCTCTCTCTCTCCCTTTCTCGCGCAATTTCCAAAATCGGATCAATTTCCATTTTCACCGAACAACACTCACTTTCACCGACATGCTTCAATTCAGCCGCACGTCCCTCTATCTCTTCCTCTCGTCCTCCCTCTGTCTCTGCCTCTCTTGGTCTGTCTTTTCGGTTGCTTTGTCCCAAACGTGGTGTCGCAAATCGACTATGGAAACAACCTGAATTATTCGTCTGGCAAATAGGCTTTAATCTCTCTCTGGTACAAGTTGGAAGTGTGGTCGAAATACTTGGGCGAATTGTTGTGCAGTTATGTTTTAGTCCGGTTTTCTATCAATTTAATCATCCATTCATCGCAATATACATGGTTCTAAACGGGTGGGCAAAATCGTAAAAACAACGCAAATTAATTGGGTCAGTCGATGTTTCAACACTTATATGCTATTAAATTGCAACCGCGCGACTTGGTGTTTTCAACATATGCTTGGCAACAAGCTGCATTTGTTTTTAATGGAATCCGTCGTTGAAAAGCTTGAAATGTTCTGCATTTTTAAGTCGTGAAATAACACTGAAACGAATTGCATTCGTTCGAAATAATTGCCAAATGATGTCAGTACATGTGTTTGCCAATAGTCGAGCTTAATTTTTTTTTTTAAATAAACAACATACAGAAAACCATTTTAAGTGGTTCTATTCTCCTTTTTTTTTAACAAAGTGCTAAGCGATTTTAACACAATATTTTTGTCACTGGAACATATTTCTTTTACAAAATATTGGTACACATGAATCATGATGTCATCAGCACACATGAAATCAACGTTTTTACGCAGATACCGAATATTGTTACAATTCCAAGTGTAAATGATTATTAAAGGCGACGTTGAAACGAAAACAAAAGAACACAAAACATTCATAAAGGGAATTCTTCCATAAGAAAATACTTTAAACCCAAACACATACATTAAATTATGTTTATAGACTAGGATAATAGCCAATGTATCGAATGACTGAATGTTTCCGATTTAAATAAATATGCAATTATAGCCATAAATATGTGAAATGATGATGCCGCACCGATATGGACGGAGTCTAATCGGTCAGTAATAAATTATGACGCAGAAAATTGTTGGTTTTGATAATATTTATTCGAGTCTCTCGATAATATTGTTTCTTTAAATCGAGACACAAGCAAAGACTCACTCGTATGTGCAATCGGTTAGTCTACGATTTTACTTATATTGCAAAAATGACATTATTTTTATTGGAACATGCCCAACACAATCATTCCAAAACAATGAATTTTTTTACACTCATTTCGGATTGGATCAATTTCAATCATTATTCACAAGTTGAGTATTTATTTTTCAATACAGACCGCTTTGGTTCAATTTTTGATGGATATGTTTGATATGTTTATTATATTCAGATCCAATACGAACCGTACGTGTTACTTGACCTGTGTAAATACATCATTACTGTATACGCCGAAACGATTGTGTTTGAAAAAGTCAACATTTTCAAGTGACTCAATGATTCCCTTTTGATTCTCTGTTGATGTTCAATCGCAAAAGCGAAGAAACCTTTTTCTGTCACGTTCTCACAAACAGCATGCTCAGTGCTAATTACTATACGTGTTATGTATTGAGATAAACAAAGAAACACAATATCATATATGTCAAATGAATGGCTTGGTTGGTACGCAAAAATGAGCACATGTTTTTCGCGTATCGCGTCGATTTGCTCGACATCGAAAAGACGTGAAGGAGCGCTGTGTGGTGTGTATTCCTTTCAACGACGCAAAAAAAAAAATAACTTCAATATTCCGACAATGATTGATATTTTTGGCGTAATTATTTTTTCCCGGTTTGATTTCAGCATACATGTTTAAACAATATTTTGCACGTGTACTATCGAATCCACATGCACAAAATTTAAGAGCTTTTTTCTCGTAAATCACAAAAATACCATCGACTGTTTATACATCTTACATTCTGTGTAAGCAAAACCATAAGAAAAATATGTATTGGCCGTTTTTTCCCCGTTAATTGAACGTGTGGGTTCTTTTTTTATAGTTTATATTTTGCGCGCTTTGATTTTCCTTTTCGTTCGTTTTTTTTGTTTTGCAACTTGATAATTCCCCGAATTCACATTTCAACACTTAACGTAATGAATTTAAAATTCAGAACGGGGTTTATTTTTTTGTTCCACACAACGGGAAATAAAAAAAAATAAACAACAATTCAAATTGTACACAAGAACCTCATAATGACGTTAGTAAATTTCCGAAGAACAACGCAACAAACGTTGTTGAGACTGTTGAAAGTATTCAATTATTATTTCCAGATGGAAATAGGCGTTATCATGATTTGCCAATAATCCAAAAAATGCAACGCCACTTCAACTGCTCAACTCCGTCTCTGTCTCTTCGTCTGTCTCTCTTTTTTGTTCACTTTCTCAACGCCAAGACAATTGAATTTTCTCATTAAGTTGAAACACTGTTACATACATGGATATACACAATTTGATACACACCGAGTGATATTTGCCATCGTGAAGCACACTCAAACACGATGAAAACTCGAAATGGAAAATCCAACGGAGAAAATATAATTGAGAGAAATATGCGCTTGATGTGTGTGAAAAGGCGAAAGATGAACGGAAAAAAACCAGCATAAACACACAGAATAAGCGATTATTAGGATGCTGTGAATGCCGATGGATCAAAAATGCCCTTTGAAATAAGCCGAATAAAGTCTGATTTGGTTATAAAATCAATGACACCACGACGGCAGATTACTTCAACTCACTCGAGGATGAAAATCAACTCAACACACAATGCATACGAAAACAACACAGAATCGAGACAATCAATTTCTATTCAACAACAACAAGAACAACATCATCATCATAAAAAAGGATAAAGCAAACAAAAGCAAAAGTGGTATATATATATATATATACGTTGGTAGCTGGCAACGGTTGTTTATGTAAAACTTTGTAATTTATTCACAAAATTTTTGTGTAATCCATATTTTTCTTTCGCAGCTGATTTTATTTCTTATTCGGAATTTTTTTTTTCTTTCTCTTCTATTTGATGGGTCGACACGCTCCACAATTGCAAACACCGAAAATTCACTAGCAAAACCACTTCGTTGGATATTTATGATGTGAAACGAAGAGGAAAGAAAAAAACAACACACGACCAGTCAATCGCATCGAAAACAAGAATCCTCAATGAAAATGTACGTCGGTATAGGATTTTCTTCTCTCAGTGTTTTGCTTTTTTTTCTTTTCTCCCTCAATTTTATGCGTATATACATATACTTTTATTTTCTTCTCTCGGTTCTTATTTTTATGTATCGCACACATTGTGCCATGCAGTGCATGCGTCCGTGTTTGAGCAAGCAGAAGTAAGCTAGTGCGAGAGAGAGAGAGAGAGAGAGAGAGAGAGAGAGAGAGACAGAGTGAGCGAGCATGAGCGAACGCGAGTGGAGCGACAGGAGTTGAGCGTGTATTTGTGCGTATGCACGGCAGAAAAAAAACAACACATACCATTTACTATTGTATATTACTATGTTGGTGTGGTGTCGTCGTAGTCGTCGTTGTTGTCGTTTCGGTAGCGACCAGCAGCTCCTCGATAATTTACAACGCAACAAGAACGATACGCGATGGTAATGTAAAAGCGGGTATCGATTTTAGTATGCACATATCACCGAATTGGTGCACATTTTGGAAATAGGCCCCCGTATATTTAAATTTTCTCTATCGTTTCTTTGATAAGATTCGCAAACACACACACATACACACGAAATGAACTAGCAACAAAACAACAAACCATAAGAGAAAAAGAAAACAAATACCACTGCGGAAAATTCACGCAATTTCCTTCTTATTCTCGTTGTTTCACGCGCACATTTTTGTTTAACTCTTATTCAATGCACGTCGTGTCGTTGATTTCAATTTTTTATTTTCCTTCGTTCTCTTCGGACGAAGGAAAATGCAAAAAAGCGTATTGTGCCGTGTGTGTTGATCGACAAGTAAATCCGACAAGACACACGTTGTTACTCTACTTTGCCCGAGAATGCTCTCGATAATGCGACGGAGGATACGGATTTGTTAGTAGTTTCACGCCGAGATGCTTACATCTTTTAAGAATTCTTCAATTGAATTCGGCTAACAAGTATACACACACACGATGAGAGTGAATTCGGCATGTGTGCTCTCAATTCGGCAGCACAGAAATATCAACGGACCCACATGGGCAAAGAGTGTGCGAGAGATATAGAAGAACGCATTTGGATAACAGCACACGTTTGTAGTCGTGTGCAAATTATTGGGCGATTAGATAAAATGATTGCGAGCACACCAAATAAGCGCAATGGAGGATGGACGAATGACAGAGACAGAGAGCGCGCCATTCATTCGCACACTAGCCCCCCTCGACATGCGCACACTGCGAAATTGATTCGGTTTATAGCTGAAAAAAAAATAAGAAGAAACAACACAGAACATTTCGTTTGAATTCCGAATTTCGACCATTTGATATCTTCGGGCGCCGTATATACTATACGTTTTCTCGGTCAGAGCGAGCGTGTCGTCATTTGGATTGTGGTGCGCGTCTTATCGTTCATGCTAAATTTAAATTCGTTGATTTCGCATTCGGACGTCAAACGAATACACACGGATCTCGTGTCATTCTTTTTTTTTTGTCCAATTTCTCACCTCATAAATTCATTCGGTGGCCTAACGAGAGAGAAAAATCGAAGCTCCTATCTCACCGTATTACACATCAACTTTCAATTGTTGAAAGTAAACGGCTCACCGCTGTTTTCTCTCTTCATTGCTTCTCTTTCGATTGATTTCGGTTGAACCGAACGCCGATGCCATTTTATATACTAATCGTCTATCTTCTATTCGACATTTAGTACGGTGCTAACGATTTATATTAGCATTACTTAAATTTTGATTAGAAAAAAATGTGTCCCTCAATGCTTCTTATCACAATGACCAACGTCATTCAATCGTATAATCATAGACGCGTACGATTTGAATTATTTTCTTTTGCTACTCGTTCTGTCGTGTAACATCAATTCACGTCATTCTCAATTCATTCATAGATACTCACTCCAACTTGAGTGGAGTGACTCGCACATCAATTTCGAAGCTGTTTTTTTTTTAAGGAGTATGACAGCTTTGATGAACCCATTTATAATCACGTTTGTTTATAGCGAACGTGCTCGATTGAATGGAAAACAAAACCATTAAACACATCGCCGTAATTTATTACCGCTACTGTTTTCTACTTGCCTCATTGGATAGCCCACTCCAAACAATTTCGTTCCAAACAAACAACGCCCTCTGCGGTTCAGTTTGAATCGGTTTACAAAACAGTAATTTTGCTAGGTCGCTTTTTGGTAGGTGTCTCGGTTAAAGCATTCAACAGCTTTAATTTAAGTTCAAAATGGAAATTTAATACACTCTCTTTTTCAACTTGATTTAAACGGTTTCTAATTCCCTCTTCAACAATTACTTTTGCTTTTGAATCGTTTCATTTAACGTGTTTTTCAAACAAATAATTCTAGGTTTGAGGGAAAGAAGCAACAAAGAATGAAAAGAAAAAAAAACGATTTAAGTAATGTTCAACGTTTATTTCGATTGATTTTCTTCAAAACGCTCAATTTTTATTTTATTTTAATCGATGACTTAGTCATTAAGACTATTTTGAAAATTAACTAAACTATCGATGATGACTATCAAATAATTGACCAATTAACACCTGTGTTATTTGAATTGTTCGTTCAAAAAAAAAATTGTGAGGCAATATCAAATTATAGGGAGTTTTTCCTTACTTCTATGAAATGAAACACTTTTTTCTAAGTGTATTTATTTTATTTCTAAATTGATCAAATGAGGCACAAGCAGAGCTATGTCTTGCTTGGTTGGTGAGTTACAGAAAACTAAATTCTAGAGACACATTTTTTCCCTAGCTTAACTAATTGTTTTTCTTATCAATATTCTGCAAAATAGTGGGGAAGGCATATTGACCAATGAAATGAGATAAGTAGGTAAAAAGGGATGGGTTTGCACTTGACAAGGTATTGGGAATGTGAACCATCAATTCGGCTTAAAGTACCGAATGGTATGGAAGGTAGGCGAAAGAAACAGGGATTAGCATATGCTAATTGTTTTGAGTGCACATTTTGAGTACAAAGTGGCACCATAATGTCGGGTACGTCGGGAATTACCCAGAAAAGGAAGTCAGTTTATGACGAAAATGCATGAGTTTTATTGCCTAACGTGGTACGTAGCTGAACTGCGCACGCATGTTTGTTGATGTTATACTGTGTGGAGGAATTCCAAACGCAATTAGGAGATGAAAAAGACAAGAAAGTAGAAACGGGACGAAAATAATAAAAATTATTGAGGATGCAGACAAATATTGAAGTCTGCAACAAAAACAGAAATACAATTTTTGTGCTCGACGCATATTTCATTCATGCGAAATGGTACCATTTATAGATTTACATTTTTGATATGTTATTAATATGTTAATAACCAAAATATCGGAAAATTTCTAATAACTCAAACATAACATATTATTAGATTAATAAGATTCTACGATATTATTAACATATTATCTTATTATTAATAAGATCGCCATTTTATTAAAAAGTTAATAAGATCCATCTTATTATTAATAAGATAATCTAATTAAAATATTAATAAGAAAATCGGATTTTATTAACCAATTTTCAAAAGAAATTTTGAAGAAAAGTTATATAATAATATAACAATAATATAGATATTTTAATTAGATTATCTTATTAATAATAAGATGGATCTTATTAACTTTTTAATAAAATGGCGATCTTATTAATAATAAGATAATATGTTAATAATATCGTAGAATCTTATTAATCTAATAATATGTTATGTTTGAGTTATTTACGCCCCGTTAATAATATGTTAATAATTAATAACATTAGTATGTTAATGCCTGTAAATCTATAGTACCATTTATAGTCATAAAGCAGTTCGTTAAAAAATATGAATCGTGTAGTCAATTGAACGCAATGGCAGTGCCGATATTGCTACAAAATTTAATTGAGCAATAATGCTGGAAAGAATGTCTCAGATCGAGGATAAAAATAAAAAAAACTTCTCATCCCAATAACAGTCGATAGCAAAATTGTTCAATTTTATAATTAAATTTATTCGAATAAGATGAATCCACTATTTGTCTCAAAACAGATATTGTGATTACGTATCAAAGTGAGTTAAACATTAATGTTGAAAAATATTTCAGATCGTCTTTGTCATTCGGAAGGTTTGAATGAATTTTAACTGTGAGTTTTTCGTTTAATTTATATTCAGACTCCCAAGTTGATTGCGATTGAAGTATAAAACGAAAGTCGGAAAATTTGAAATGAATTTCGTAAATTTTGTTACGTTTCACTGGAATCGTTTGCCTTAGCTTGAGCTCTTTTGGGCTATTTTCACTAAAAACGAAACAGCCACCGTCAATAATAGAAACTACGTTTTGTATAGTTTCGACTGATTCCCCATCATTTTCTAATATATCGTAAGAATACTTGAAGGATGTATTAAATCTATTGTCAGTTTTCATATAATTAATACCAAATCCGCCAAAAAAAGCAGGACCATTTGTTGAAAAACGTATGGATGCTTCTGACGGAAGTGATCTTGAACACCAAGATTGTGCTCCAGAACATTTAATTACACGTAAATGATTCCATGGAATTGGTTGACGTTGTCGGGGAATTTGATTGAACTTGTTGGGTTTATTATAAATAATTTCTATTAATTCATCGTGTGTGAATAGTCCTTTTACTGGTTCCGTGCAAGGGGAGAACGTTTTTATGTCCATTGCGAAGAACCGGATCAAATAGAAACAATCGCCCAGTTGCTTTCTCAAATTTTCCATTTCGTTTTCATCCAAACCTTTTTCCTTGCAATTGTGCCGTGCCCAAGCTAAACTTGCATCAACTACGTCAGTCTCGTCGCACTGTAAATCGTCCATTTGCAATACATTTTCCAAAAAAATTCTATCACAATTGAGAAACCACTCCGATTTGAAGAAATCTTTTGCGAAAAACTTAATATATTCCTCAAAGAACGCTTTTAACTTGTCATGCTGAATTGTGATGGCCAGTTGATAGCCCCAGTCAATATTATCCGGTTGTAGTTGACCAATTAGGAAGGTTGCACATGTGTCGACACTGTCAAGCATATCATACTTGTCGGCCAGAAGAGCGACCTCTTCAATGTGTTCCATTGTTAGAGTCACTTTTGGTAGGTAAAAAAATTGTAGAAATTCCTTGAACGCTTCAGCACTTGCATCAACAATTTTCACTGATTTCCCAACTTTTGTGACTAGGTCGTTTTCTTCGCCATACCCAAAAAACCAAGCACGAAACACGGGACTCGCTATCGCTAAAACAAATTTATGCGCTGGTACAAACTCAGTCTTTCCATAATTATCGAACTCGAATCGAATGTCGGCCAAATCACTATTTAAGTATAGCTTCGCGATTCGCTCTGAAACCGAACTGTTGTCCAGCTCACTTGTCATTTTTAAATTGTCAGTTGCAAAAAATTCGTTCAAAGGATAAAATTAGAAATGAGTTTAAAAAGCTTGCAATGAGTTTGAAAATGAGCTGAATGCCGACTGTTGATACGAAATTTCAAAATAAGGTGACTGTAAACGAATGTTTATTTTGTGAAATTGCTGCTGATTTCGTAAACTATTTTATTGAAATTTAATTTTTTTTGTTGAGCAAAAAATACTGCTCAACAACAACAACAAGGAGGCAAAATCAAAAATATACAAAATTATAGCGTAATCTTATAAAGCGGGCGTAGAGTTATAGTTGAGATCTGGTTTATACTTATACACGATAAAACAGTATGTCATTTACTACAATATAATGCTGTTTGTGTAGTATCGTTTCGATAGCGACCAACCCCTCAATACAACACAACAATAATACACACACCTGTCGATTGATGCTAAAATACAAATCTAAACACCGAGTGGATACCATTAACGCTTTGAATTCTGAATCAACTTTCTTTGTCTTACTAAATAACGCGCAATGATTCAGACTTTTTTTTACACAAACCATGTGTATCAATCATCAATATTGTATTGGAAACACATTCTTGCGTTATTACTTTTCCACACGACAATGTCGTGTAAAAGAAGTATTGCGATCACCCCGGATTTTTTGATCCATTAAAAATCAGTTCTTTTTCGATTTCTGAACGCCAAAAATCGCTTTTTCCATGGGTCGTAGGGTCGTGTAGAAAAGATTACTTTACGGAAGTAAGACACCTTGTTTCATATGAAAATACCAACAAGAATGTCTGATGGCAATTTCCAAAATGAAGTTATCATTTATCGTGCGTGCGCGAGCAATGAACATTTAATCTATTGATTTAAATGACTAATGAATCGCTTCAATTTTCAGCTGAATTTAAAGCTTGAATTAAAATAAAATAAGAAATGATGAGAAAGAACCTGATGAGTGTTATGCTTGGAACAACAATTTTATTTGATCAAAATGATATTTTATTCGTTATAAAATGATTTCGGGTCGCGAAAATTATTTAGTTTCATTGATGAATCCTAGCAATTTATGACTAATTTCAATATAATTCACAAGAACACGATCGACCATTACATATTTCAATGAAGAGATTTTGTCAAATTGAATTGAATAACAAATCTGAAAAATATTTCTCATTGCCGGTGTTTGAATGTAGCTTTACTGTGAGTTTATCGGTTAGTTTATATTCACAGCCCCACGATGATTTATTTGTGAATATAACACAAACATGACTAACATTGAATCTTAGGAAAATTTCGTAAATTTTGTTAGGTTTCTGTAGAATTGCAGGGCCAAGCATGTGCTCTTTTGAAGAAAAATCATTATTCTTACGTATAGCTTCGGCGGAATGACCATCAATTTCGAATTATTCATAAGTTAATATATCATAAGTTTCATGTCGTAGTGTGATGGCAAGCCCGGAGCTCGGAATAATTTCATCCGTTTGTAGATGATCATCAATAAGTGTAGCACATGTGTCGACACTTTCAGGAGAAGAGCAACCTCTTCAATGTGTTCCAATGTTAGTGCAACTTATGTAAGGTAAAAAAATTGTAGAAATTCCTTGAACGCTTCAGCACTTGCATCAACAATTTTCACTGATTTCCCAACTTTTGTGACTAGGTCGTTTTCTTCGCCATACCCAAAAAACCAAGCACGAAACACGGGACTCGCTATCGCTAAAACAAATTTATGCGCTGGTACAAACTCAGTCTTTCCATAATTGTCGGACTCGAATTGTATGTCGGCCCAATCATTATTTAAATATAGCTTCGCGATTCGCTCTGAAACCGAACTGTTGTCCAGCTCACTTGTCATTTTAATATTATCAGTTGCAAAAAATGCGTTTAAGGATACAGTTTCAAAATGAGTTTGGAGAACTTGCAATGACTGCTATGAATTTTTAAAGTGACTGTAAACGAAAAAATTAGAAAAACATGTTAAAATAGAATGATAGAATAGATAGAATCAAAATGATAGAAAACGAAAAAGCGGATAAAAGTATTTTGAAAAAGAATGAAAAAAATGAGAATATCGTCTCAAAAATGGTTGAAGCACAATCGCGAAACCAGTCCACGTCGTTCGCTGTTCGATGGATTGCGATGGAACTTCACGTTGATCTTTTTATCCAATTCGACTTCAGACATCCATTGTAGGCCATGGCAATAGTAGCCACTTGTGTTGGTTGCAGTGTCCAAGCGAATTTCGTACATCTTCTTCGGATTGATTGCAAGCGGTTGCGATAATGGTATCCTAATTTCCTTGTCGCCGTTGAATGTAACCGCTTCCTTGAAGAGTATTTTCGTTGGTGCGCTCACTTCGAATGATTGAGCATCGATTTCCACCACAGTTGCGTTGAATTTCATGTTGATACTGTAGCCGTTGCCAGTGCGTACGGGAAAGCAATAAATTTCACCCAACATAGCGGGAATACTTGTTGAAAACCATACCGGCTCCGGACTTTGAATGTAGTACGGGGGATTTGAGGTTAAAATCTCTTGTGAGCAAACAAGCATTTGTGTGTTGTCCCATTGCAACAATGAGTTTGACCGTGGATTTTGGTTGAATTTGTTTGGCGTGAACTTGCTGGTGGTTTTGTACAAAATGTGCGCCAATTCGTCGCGAGTGAACAGTTCTTCGTATGCGACTGTGCGCGTGGCGAAATCTTTACGTGTCATCACACCGAAACGAATCAAGTTGAAGCAATCGCCCAATTGCGTTTTTAAATTCTCTGGCTTCGTGTCGTCGATTCCATTTTGCTCGCACGAAAACTTCGCCCATTCCATACATGCCTCAAAAATATCAATCTCGTCGCACATCAGCGTTTCCAATTCCAAGATTTGCTTCAATGTCTTCTGGTCGCAATGTTGAAAGGTGGCCGATTTGAACAAATCCTCGGTGAATGTGCAGATATGTTTTTCGCAGTATGCCTTCAATTGCTCGTGTTTGATGATGATTGCCAATTGATAGCCCTAACACATATTGTCCATTGTCAATTTATTGATAAACGTTGCAGCGTAGTTGTTCAAACGTCCGGACATATCGTACTTATCCGCCAAGCGAGCCACTTCTTCGATGTTTTCCATTGTCAATGTCACTTCGCCCAAGTAGAAAAATTGCAAAAATTCCTTGAATCCAGCGACTGTTGCATCGGGAATTTCCACCTTGTCTTTCTCTTTCAATTTTCCATAGAACATTGCACGGAACACTGGACTTTGACTTGAGAGTATGTTTTTATGCGCCGGCACCAGTTGCGATTCATCATCGTTGGTGCACACAAATTTTACATCGGCCAATTCCTTATCGAGGTACATCCTTGCAATTGACGGCAACAAACAATTATTTTTGGATTTAATTGACATTTTCGTTTGGAGTTTCGAATAAAAAAATCTTCAATTTAAATCAGTTGAAGCAACACTATCGGAAATTAGAAGTATGAAGCAAAGTAAATCAGAAATGTTCAAAATTATAGTACAATCTACTAGAGCGAGCGTGGGAGTATAGTTGACAGGTTATGTATGCTTGATACATGACAAAACAGTATATCATTTACAATATATTACTGTTTGTGTAGTATCGTTTCGATAGCAACCAGCTCAGGTATACCTATCGTGGAAGGTTTGCAATGCAATAATAGTGTACATGAAACATAAACAGCTTGAAAATGGAATTGAAACAGGTGGAATTATGTGCGTGTTAGTTTGTCCTTAACATTGTCTTTTTTTCTTCATATACACACACATAGAGAGAAATGAATTGGTGTTCACACAATGGTGTTTGCTACCTGTCAATTGATGCTAACATTTAAATCTAAACACTAAGGAGCCACCGTTAACGCTTTGAATTTTGAATCACATTTCTTTGTCTTACTCAATAACGCTCAATGATTTTGAATTTTTACATGGTTTTCCATCAATATAATTGTCATTAATATTGATTAATTGTATTGGAAACACATTCTTACTATTGGTCAAGTTTGTACGAGCAATACACACTCAATCTGTTGATTCAGCTGTCTAAGAGAATCGCTGCAATTTTGATAGCATATGTATATTGACCATCTTTCAAAAGAGAATTATTGAACAAACAAATACCTTTGCTGGACAATAATGTTCGATGATTTTCACTTATTGGCAAAGACATATCACGATTCAACAATCCTTTGAAATTTGCCATGGACACTGAAGATTCAATTGATAATTTAAAAAAAACATGATCTGAAAATAAAAAACAATGAGAAAGAGGCAGATAAGTTTTATGCTTGAAACAACAATTTTATTCGATCAAACTTATATTTTATTCGTTGTAAAATGATTTCATTTCGAAAAAAGCTATTTAGTTTCATGTATGTGGATTTCAATATATGTAATTCCCAAGAACATGACCGATCATTACATATTTCAATGATGAGATTTTGTTAAATTGAATTGAATAACAAACCTGCAAAATATTTCTCATTGTCGGTGTTCGGATGTAGTTTTACTGTGAGTTTATCAGCCGGTATTCTAAGAATTCCACCAAAATCGTTCGGAATTATTTTTTTCATACATAAGACCATATTGGGGTGAAAGAGAGAGATTCCACTATTTTTCAGCGTCCCACCGGAATTATTTCGATAAATCAAGGAAGAGTGGATTGTGTGAGAAATAATTCCGGTGGGACGCTGAAAAATTGTGGAATCCTTCTCTTTCACTCCAATATGGTCTTATGTACGAAAAAAATAATTCCGAACGATTTTTGCGGATTGTGTTCCAGAATACCGGCACAGTTAATTTATATTCAGAGTCCCAAGATGATTTAGATACTAATGTATCATTAGCATGATTACTAAGTTTTAGTAAAATTTCGTAAATTTGATTAGGTTTCACAAGCCTCGATTTCATGTATTACTTTACATTAAAGCCGTCAAATGACTGCTGCTAGCGACGTTTCACTGCGACAACGTTAACTACAGTATACACCGTGCACTTCTTCTTCTTCTTCTTCTTAACTTATGCCACTTTTTTCTGTTGTGAGTATGAAGCTTACGTTGTCGCAGTGAGATGTCGCTTCAGCACCATATGGAAAACGGAATCAAGACTCGAGGTTTTAGTAGAATTGTTTGATTTAGCATGTGCCGTTTTGATAAGGATTCATCTTTCTTTAGTATAGTTTCGGCAGATTGGCCATCAATTTCGAGAATTTCATAAGAACTGGTGGTCGCGAAATGCGGACGCCTAATAAAACGGTTAACACAAAATCCTCCGAATAAAGCCGGCACATTTGTTGAAAATCTCATCGATACTTCTGGTGATATTGATGAAAAAAAACATTTAGATTCTACTTCAGAACATTTAATTACACCTAAATCATTCCATCGAATTGGTTGACGTTGTATGGGATTTTTGATAGAACTTGTTGGGTTTATTATAAATAATTTCTATTAATTCATCGTGTGTGAATAGTCCTTTTACTGGTTCCGTACAAGTGGAAAATGTTTTTGCGTCCATTGCGAAGAACCGAATTAAATAGAAACAATCGCCCAATTGCTTTCTCAAATTTTCCATTTCGTTTTCATCCAAACCTTTTTCCTTGCAATTGTGCCTTGCCCATGCCACACATGCATCGAATACGTCAGTCTCATCGCACTGCAAGTCGTCCATTTGTAGAATATGTTTCAGAACAAATTGAGCACAATTGAGAAATGTCTGCGATTTGAACGAATCTTTAGTAAATAATCTGATATATTTCTCGCAGTGATCTTTCAACGTTTCATGTCGTAGTGTGATGGCTAGTTGATAGCCCAAAATAATATTATCCATTTGTAGTTGATTCACAATGAATGTTGCACATTTGTTGACACTTTCAGGCGCATCATACTTATCGGCCAGAAGAGCAACCTCTTCAATGTGTTCCAATGTTAGTGTAACTTATGGAAGGTAGAAAAATTGTAGGAATTCCTTGAACGCTTCAGCACTTGCATCAACGATTTTCATCGATTTTCCTACTTTTATCATCAATCCATTTTCTTCTCCGTTCCCAAAAAACCAAGCACGGAACACTGGACTCGCTATCGCCAAAATGCTTTTATGCGCGGGCACAAACTCAGCATTATCATCTTTGTTGAATTCGAATTTAATGTTGGCCAAATCACTATTCAAATACAACTCTGCAATTCCTTCTGAAACCGAACTGTTGTTCAAATCACTAGCCATTTTTTATAGTTTGACGTTTTAAAAAAATGTGTGCAAAAAACTAAATTTTACGTTTCGAGAACTGACTGTTCTGAACTTTCAAAATGAATTGATTGTAAATGCTTGAATATATCGTGAAATAGCTTCACAGTTTTGGTTTCATCGCATTCGAATACGTACACACAATCGAATGAATTGTTTACATACAGTAAGAAACAGAAGTGTATGAAGTTTATGAACAATCTACGGCTATTCAGAAAAAGTCAAAACACACATTACAGCAATGAAATCTATTGGAGTGAAGAGATTTTCTAACCGAATTGAAGGCTCAGAAGAATTTCCTACGAAATAACATGTAAATGTGGAGAAGAAAAAGAGAACTAAATTAAATTCATTTAAAAAACTAGAGATGGCTCATATTAGTTCTTTACGCAAAAATAAGTCTACAATCCCATACAAGTACTATACGGTTGTTTATGAATGTGCTCGTATTTCATTTCGAGAATATTCCCTTTATTCTATACTATAGAGGAGAATTCTGTGCCCATAATTTTGGATGATTTAAACCTCATAACACATACATTACTTGTCCATAAGACTGCGTCAGTCAAAAAGGTTTCAAAATTCTCAGAATGATTTTTATTGCTTACTTTTTTGCATAAAAGCAGATTAAGGAGTCTGGAAAGAATCGTTTCAGTTCTCAACACATATTCATGAGATCCGAAGAAAGGAGTGATGAAATATATAACCGTCCTTAATTTACTATAGTTTTCGATAAATTTTAGACCAAAGTCATCTGCATGATTCAACAATAATTCATTTTTTTGGCCAGTATAGCAAAACTTGCGTGTTCAAAATGTATTAAGTAAGCGAAATAACATGAAATGATAACGAATTAAAAGCTTATAAAGTTAATATTTGAAGCAACAAATTTTATTCAATCGAATTGATGTTTTATTTCTTACAAATTGATTTTATTACCCAATTTCTTCAACATTCGATCAAAATCGGTTGATGTTAGTTTTTGTATTGTAATCTTCTGAAATACTTTTATTGTTTTTTTTTGTTCATCGTAAAAAGAAAAAAAAAGGTTAAAATAGAATGATAGAATAGGATCAAAATGATAGAAAACGAAAAAGCGGATAAAAGTATTTTGAAAAAGAATGAAAAACAATGAGAATATCGTCTCAAAAATGATTGAAGCACAATCGCGAAACCAGTCCACGTCGTTCGCTGTTCGATGGATTGCGATGGAACTTCACGTTGATCTTTTCATCCAATTTGACTTCAGACTTCCATTGTAGGACATGGCAATAGTAGCCACTTGTGTTGGTTGCAGTGTCCAAGCGAATTTCGTACATCTTCTTCGGATTGATTGCCAGCGGTTGCGATAATGGTATCTTAATTTCCTTGTCGCCGTTGAATGTAACCGCTTCCTTGAAGAGGATTTTCATTGGTGCACTCACTTCGAATGATTGAGCATCGATTTCCACCACAGTTGCGTTGAATTTCATGTTGATACTGTAGCCGTTGCCAGTGCGTACGGGAAAGCAATAAATTTCACCCAACATAGCGGGAATACTTGTTGAAAACCATACCGGCTCCGGACTTTGAATGTAGTACGGGGGATTTGAGGTTAAAATCTCTTGTGAGCAAACAAGCATTTGTGTGTTGTCCCATTGCAACAGTGAGTTTGACCGTGGATTTTGGTTGAATTTGTTTGGCGTGAACTTGCTGGTGGTTTTGTACAAAATGTGCGCCAATTCGTCGCGAGTGAACAGTTCTTCGTATGCGACTGTGCGCGTGGCGAAATCTTTACGTGTCATCACACCGAAACGAATCAAGTTGAAGCAATCGCCCAATTGCGTTTTTAAATTCTCTGGCTTCGTGTCGTCGATTCCATTTTGCTCGCACGAAAACTTCGCTCATTCCATACATGCCTAAAAAATATCAATCTCATCGCACATCAGCGTTTCCAATTCCAAGATTTGCTTCAATGTCTTCTGGTCGCAATGTTGAAAGGTGGCCGATTTGAACAAATCCCCGGTGAATGTGCAGATATGTTTTTCGCAGTATGCCTTCAATTGCTCGTGTTTGATGATGATTGCCAATTGATAGCCCCAACACATATTGTCCATTGTCAATTTGTTGATGAACGTTGCAGCATAGTTGTTCAAACGTCCGAGCATATCGTACTTATCCGCCAAGCGAGCCACTTCTTCGATGTTTTCCATTGTCAATGTCACTTCACCCAAGTAGAAAAATTGCAAAAATTCCTTGAATCCAGCGACTGTTGCATCGGGAATTTCCACCTTGTCTTTCTCTTTCAATTTTCCATAGAACATTGCACGGAACACTGGACTTTGACTTGAGAGTATGTTTTTATGCGCCGGCACCAGTTGCGATTCATCATCGTTGGTGCACACAAATTTTACATCGGCCAATTCCGTATCGAGGTACATCTTTGCAATTGATGGCAACACACAATTATTTTTGGATACAATTGACATTTTCGTTTGGAGTATCGAATAAAAAAAATCTTCAATTTAAATCAGTTGAAGCAACACTATCGGAAATTATTTTTCTTCTTCTTTTGTTTGCTGTTGTCGACCACGCTTGTTGAACGATGAAATAAAACCGCTTGAATATGACGAAATTGCGTCGCTTACTTCAAATACAACCGATCCAACCGGCACTCGCACACAATCACAAGAGGGTTAGAGATTTTTTTTCCAGTGACATGTATTGAGACTTAATACTAATACAAAACAAAACGCAATATAACAGAACGCTCAGTCGCTCACTCTCCTTCTCATTCCATGTAATTCGACACACATTTACGAATGCGGCACACTTTTGTCGGCTCACTTACGCTTGACAGATCCACTAAGACATGCAAAGAAATACGAAATACCAACACACAACCAATGAATGTTTATGATAAATGATGTTTACAGCCGATGAAATCGAAAGCTAAACATTTGCACCAAGTGACGCCTGTTGAATCTGCGAACACAAACACGCATTGACAGAATGATAGATTCAGCAAAAATAACAAGCAATGATGAATATAAGAATGTATGACTAGAATAGTTTATTTTGAAATATCTTTTATTCAAAATGATTTTTACTCAGAATTTATTTCAAAAAAAAAAACCAAAAAACCAATACAATCAAAAAGCAAAAAATCTATTCAATATATGTATAGAATCCAATTAAAATATAGGAAATCCATAAAAAAAATTGACCTGAATGTGCAGTAAAAGTTTTTTTTTCTTCCAAAACAAAAGAATTTTCTTAAAAATATCGTCAAAATGAGTTAAAATTCAAACCAATAAAATAACAATACTGTCCAATTTCTTCCTTACGTATATTAAAATTCAACCAAAAAAAGATATCATCATAACAAAAATCTCCGTACAAATTAAAACTCGGCAGCAAAACTGTGGTCGCTTAAATTCTACTGAAGAACATTTTCGACACCAAACCGCTGTGTTCGTTGTTTTGATTGTCATTTGGATTTTGATGAAACGTTACTGTTAGTTCTTCGTCAATTTTGACGAACGATTGCCATGTCGAAGTATGAAAGCAGTCACCGCAGCTTGAATTATGTTCAAATCGGATTTCATACGTTTTCTTTGGATCAATGATCAACGGCCATGGCAATAGAAATCGTATAGACTCATTGTTCGCTGTCACTTTTCCGCTGAACAAAGTCCTAATTGTTATCCATGTTTCCGCATTTACTTCGTCAATGCTAACATTGAAATGGATTGAAACGGCACTGTTGTAGAAATTTTTGATGAGAGCAAAGTTGAATTCGCCCAGCAGCACTTGAATGTTGGTTGAAAATCGGGTGGATTCGACATTTTTTATTGGATATTCACCCCAATCTCCATACGCTGAACGTTGTTCTCGATCGCATATCAATTTTTCCACCGTGTTCCAAATTTTCGTTCGTGGTGTTTGACTAAATTTAGTCGATTTAAAATCTTTCACTGTTGTCGCACACAGAACATCGGCCAATTCGTCTCGCGTAAATAAATCCTTGTACAATTCATTCGAAATGTGTTTGGCAAATTCTTCGGTTGGAATGGTACCGAATCGAATCAAATAGAAACAATCGCCCAATTCGGCTTTCAAATGTTCGGCAACATTTTGATCGAGTTCATTTTTATCACATGCACATTTTGCCCACTCTAGACATGCCTTGAATATATCATTCTCAGAGCACTGCAATGATTCAATCTCCAGAATGTTTCGCAACACATTTTGATCACAACGAAGAAATGTTTCAGTTTTAAATATGTCCAATGGTTGAACGCTGATTTGTTTCGCACAAAATTGTTTTAGTTTTTCATTTCCAAGAGTAATCGCCAGTTGATAACCCCAAAACATATCCGTTTCGGTCAATTGAGACTCCAAAAATTCGGCGCACATATTCATACAGTCAATCATATCGTATTTGTCTGCCAATCGAGCAACTTCCACAATGTGTTCCATTGTAAGCGTTACTTCGCCCAGATAAAAAAACTGTATGAATTCTTTGAACCCATTAATTGTAGCATCGACTATTTCAATTTTTTCTTGTTCTTCTTTGATTGGCCCGAAAAACATCGCATTAAACACTGGACTGGCCACAGCTAAAATGTATTTATGCGCGGGTATCTGATGATCTTTTAACACAAATTTAACGTCACACAATTCAGCATTTAGATATAATTTTGATATTGACTGTGCCACAAACGTATTTTTTAGTTGACTCGCCATTTTTTTTTTCTCTAGCTATTGAATGAAAATGAAACAAAACTTTCTGTTTTTAATCGAATTTTTAGTGATAAAACTACTTTTGTTCTGCAACAATCTAACAAAGTGACACACAATTCTTTGTGCTATTGATGTGCGTTGTTTTGCTCAATTGACATTCATCATATGTGGATCTCAATATCTCTTTCATGCATGCACCTGTACGAATATACTCTGTTCAGTTTTGTCGATGCGTGCATAGAAGACAACATATATTCTGTTTTCTGTTCGCTTCGTTGCCCGTTGTATACCATCAGCAGAAGCGAATAAACAAGTCTCTCACACATATGTGTAAGTGACAAATATGATGAGAGTCAATTGAGAATCAGCTGTTGCAAGCTGTGTGCTACTTTGTAGTAGAGATGAGCGTTGTTTATATTTGATGCCCAACAATGAGTTATCGTTTGAATCAACAAGTTGAATTTTTGGGTTTAGTTCGTTTGATAAACAATTTTACGTAGTCTCAAATTGAGGCTCTCAATCAGATTTCCGATTACAAGCATAGTCAAAACTGTGTATCAACAGCTTTTCAACAACATTTCAGTAGTTCAGAATCCCCAGGGTTATTACATTTAGAATACTTACTTATTTATTATCGCCTTATTAGTTTATACATTGTATACAGCTGGAATAGTTGAAGTACATCTTTTCACAAAAATAAATTATTCAATTGATATTTTATATTATTGACAATATACGTTTGATTACAATGTAAACCAAATCATGAAAATTTGACGAAAAAATATTGGAATGGTGAAAATTACCATTAAAAATGAAACGGCTTATTTTTCTTTGAAAATAACAAAAAAATTTACATGACATATAAGAAGTTTATCTAACATTTTACTGAAAAGCAATTTTGATATAAATCCAGTGGAACCGGTGTTTTTGTAAAACATTACTGTTAATTCGTCATTAACTTTAACAACATTTTGGAACGATGACAAATGGTAAAAGTCACCGTGATTCGAACCGTTCTCAAATCGAATTTCATAGATTTTATTTGGTCCAATTGCAAGTGGTTGTGACATTAGGATTTGAGTTGATTTATTGTCAATTTTCACATTTTCTTTAAAAAGAACTTTAGCCGTGAGGGTATACTTCAGCTATGCCCATATCGTATTGAATCTTTTGACTATTACTATGACCGTAATGAGATCTAAAAGCAAAGTTCACCCAGTATAGCTATAGAACTCGTTGAAAACCATACAGATTCCTTGGCTCTAATCGGAATTCCACCTCTGGAGATGATGGATGGTTTCTCTCGATTACATATCAATGGATCGACTGTTGCCCATAAAATGGCTGCTGATCGCGGTTTTTTATTGAAATTAACTGGGCGATAATCTTTAACTGATGTTGTGCATAAGATATCAACTAATTCATCTCATGAGAACAGATTTTTGATTTGTTTGCTTGATAAGTGCTCAGCAAATACTTCCGATGTGATCGTCCCAAAACGAAACAAATAAAAACAATCGCCCAATTGTGACTTCAAATTTTCGGCTTTCCTGTCGTCTAATCCGTTTTGTTTTGCAAGCGCACTTGGCCCACGCTAAACATGCATTGAATATGGTATTTTTATCGTAAAACAACGAATCGATCATCAGAATATTCTTCAACACAGTTTGATCGCAACGAAGAAATGACTCCGATTTGAACACTTCCAATGGACAAATACTGATTCTCGTTTCGCAAAACTTTTTCAAACTGGTATTGTTGAGAGATATGGCCAATTGGTAGCCCCAAAACATATTATCCTTTGTTAACTTGCTCTCAAGAAAGGCCGCACACATATTTAGACACTCGAGCATATCGTATCTATCCGCCAATCGAGCCACTTCTTCGATTCGCTCCATCGTTAGCGTCACTTCACTCAAATAAAAGAACTGAAGAAATTCCTTGAACCCATCGACTGTGGCATCTTTAATTTCAACTACATCCTTTTCCTTCATCGGCCCAAAGAACATGGCGTTGAACACTGGACTTGCTATGGCTAAAATATTTTTGTGGCCTGGGACTTTTTCACTCTTGAACAAGAAATTAAAATCAACTAAATCCGGATTCAAGTACAACTTCGATTTTGATTGGATCACACATTTATTTTCCAATTGGTTTGACTTTTTTTTCTTCAGTTTTAATCACGAAATTGAATTTGTACCGTCGAAAAAACGTTGTTTATGAAAAATTTTGAGTGCTTGGCAAATATATTTTTTAAAATGACACAAGATAAGCGTCTATTGTGAAATCAGTCGCTGGAATGAATGGAATGAAGTGTAGTCAAAGTGTACGTTCTGTACGATGCATGTAAGCAAACTGATCGCATATATTTTACAGCATTTAAACTTGGGTATGTGAAAGGAAATGCAAACATGTATTGGTGCCGAAATAGATGAACGTTAGCGTTGATTTCTTTTCAACAATAGTCCACATAAGAACGCGAGTGACATCATCGATCGCAGAAAAAAAAAATCAAGGAAAATTCGTACAACAAAAGGATCGGTACAGTTTCAATACTTGGCTTGATTAATGTACACTTTGTATGATTTTGATTTGGATGTTGAGCAAGCGATTCAATTCATATGAAAAATTTTATGCAACAATGTTGTGTTAAGACATAGAAATGTGTAAATCCTCACGAAAGAATTGAAAACTTTATGAACTTACTCAGAGTTGAAAACGAAATCCGTAAAGACGACAACGAACTGAGTCTTTAGTTACATATTTTAACCGAATCAAAAATGGAACTTCACTCTTCAACAATTCCCAACGTCTGAAGGCAAACTAAGTGTGGGAATGAATCAAATGCTCTGCTTGTTTGCTATTAAGTATTTTTATTTAATAGTCTATGTCATCTAAAAGTATGTGCAAACTGCACTGACACAAGTTTCTTTGAAAATACAAATTACACACACATAAAATTTAGTTGTTGAATGCTTAAATAAGGATTCTTTGTTCTTTCAACAGCTGATGTTGTTGTTGTTGATGTCAATTTCTGTTTTTGTTTTCATATTGTGTCGCCATACTTCTAGGAGAAGGTTGATTAGGGGTTTGTATGCATTGTGTTTTTTGTTGTTGTTGTGTTTGAATTAAATAGATTACAATGAAAAATAAAAACTTTTACTTTGAAACAAAATGCCGCGTCGGGCATCAGGATTGATCAATGCCGTATGAGTTCAATACGAACCCAGACAAAGCACAGGGATTGAGATATGAAACTAGATTCTAAGCTTAATCTAAATCATCATCATCGTCATCGGAAATTGCATACTTCTTTTGTGTGCGTTTTCTACGGGTTGGTGCCTGTTTTCTAGCCGCATTGCTGCTGTTTGTGTTGTTCGATGAACTTGATGATGTGCCGGGCTTTGATTTGGATCGTGATGGATTCGATCCGTCATCGGACTCGTCGTCGTCATTCTCGTCGGAATCATTGGCAGTTCCACCATTATCACCACCAACTCTGTAATACCAAAAAGAGAGAAATAAAAAATGCATAAATTTAGTGCTTATTCAACGACAACAGAAAAACCATGTTATAATCAATTGTCGTTACTTTTCTTCAGCAGCTGTTAATGAATTGAATAAGTTTTGTTTCGCCTTGAAGAACACCGACTGCAATTGGATACTATCTTCGTAGATGAGCGATGCTTCTTCATTGTAAATCTGTGCATTTTGGCACAGTTGCACGAAATCCTTTTCCAATTCGGTAAAATCAAAGTATTTTCCGTCTTCAATGCGTTGCAATATCTTCTTAATGTCTACCGGTTTCTTAATAATTTCGTAGTAATCAGGTAATTTTTGACGCGACGGCAATTTCATGAATGGTTCGCTTAAAATGCGTCCCGTTTCGTCGGCATATCGAATCACTTCCTTCACCACCTTATTCATTTGCTTCTTAGTTTTTGGGTCTACTTGCACCTTTTTACGCTTTAATGGTAAATCACCATCGGAATCATCGGATTCACCGCGACGACTCTTTCGCTTCTTGTTCTTCTTTCGCTTCTCACGATCATCTTCGCCTAAGAGAGTGGAAAATATTTCAAAATTAGTTAGTAATCGAATAGATCTTTCCTAAAGTCTTCGTAGTAAAATTATTGCTTGGTTTGATTCCGTCATTTAGGTAAATCCATACATACCGTTTGAATCATCGAAATCGTTTTCACCATCGATCGCCTTAAGGAAATCTTTTTCAGTTAAACTGTCAGTGTAATCAACTTCTTTACGTTGTCGTGAACCACGGCCCAAAATGGTATCGCTCTCTTCATAGTTCCACTGATCGACTTCATCGTCCTCTTTTACCAACCAATCGGGCAATTCATTTTCGCTGATCAATCGTGTGCGATTGCCATCATGTTCCTTACGCTCAATATCCATTTTCTTGAACAACTCAAGCTCATCGTCCGAACGGGAGATCATCAAATTGATCATTTCATCGTCGGGCACTTCATTTTCCTCTTCTTCATCACCTTCGTCTTGATGTAAAATACTCTGCAAGAATTGCTGACGCTCGCTACCCGTCGACTTCTGATCGAACATACCGGCCTGAATGACCTTTTCATCCATGTTCAATTTGTAACGGGCCGCAGCCAAAATACGCTCCTCAACGGAATTCACTGTCATCAAACGGAGTACACGCACTTCATTACGTTGACCGATACGATGGGCACGATCTTGGGCTTGTAAATCTTGATGCGGATTCCAATCCGAATCGAAAATGACGACTGTATCGGCGGCTTGTAAATTCAAACCCAAACCACCGGCACGCGTTGACAGCAAGAACAAGAAATAATCCGATTCTTTGGCATTGAATTTTTTGAGCAAATCACCTCGATCTTCCGACTTGGTTGTACCATCCAAACGAAGGTACCTGAAATAATAATAGGGCTATTTAGTTTCAACGACTCTTCTATCTTATTTTTATCAACTAAAAAGAAGAAAACAAAAGCGTCAACTTACGAAAAACCTCTCCAGCCCAAGTAATCTTCAATAATGGTCATGCACTGTGTCATTTGACAGAAGAGCAAGACACGATGGTTGGTGGCTTTGAGTTTTGGCAAAACTCGATCGAGCAATTCGAATTTTCCAGATACACGGAACAAATCCGGTCCGCTAACAACACCATGGCCGCCAATATGATCGCAATACTTTTCTTCAATGTTCTGGAACATGAACGGATGGTTACACAATTTACGCAATTGAACGATAGTGTTCATGAGTGCCTTCGCACCGCCCTTTCCTTTGCTACCCTTCTCCGAGCCATCGGTAAGTAAAACACCCTTGCTTTGCATGTGTCGATACAGAACTTTTTGTAACGATGACATTTCGCATTTGATAATGTATTCGACTTTGTCTGGCAACTGAGACTCGACTTCCTTTTTGAGACGACGCAACAAGAATGGCCGCAACACTTTGTGCAAACGACGAATAATCAAAATGGTTTCTTCTTCGTTCAATTCGACCTTTTCACCGGTGGTGGCGAACGGCGCGTTGAACCATTGCTCAAATGTGGAGCAACTCTTGAAAATCGATGGCAACAAGAAGTTCAACAGTGCCCACAATTCGGGCAATTTATTTTGCAATGGTGTTCCGGTGAGCAACAAACGGAACGGAGCATTATAATGCGTGTTAAGAACCTGTGTCAGTTTACAATGATGGTTTTTCATACGATGACCCTCGTCGATGATCATGTACTTCCACGAGAGTTTGGCGAGCACCGATTTATCCTTGATAACGTATTCGTATGTGGTGAGCAATACGTTGAATTTGGTAGCACGCATTTGATTTTGAATATGACGACGACCGGCCGGTGAGCCTTTGTATGACACAACCACAACTGATGGTGCCCATTTCTCGAATTCCAACACCCAATTCGAAAGTGTTGACAGTGGCACTATCACCAAGAATGGCCCATTGACTTTTTTCTCTTCCATTAAATAGGTGACCAGTGAAATGGTTTGAATAGTTTTACCCAAACCCATCTCATCGGCCAGGATACCGTTCAAATTGTTATTGTAAAGTGAGACAAGCCATTCCAAACCTTTGATTTGATACTCTTTGAGTTGACCGTTGACCATAATTTTGGCTTGTTTTGTAACTTTTTCATGAACTGTGTGCGCAATGCTGTAATAGGTTTGCTCCTCCGTTTTGTATTCATCGTCTTCGACTTTGGCCTTTTTGATGAGTTCCTGTGCCTTTTCTTGGCTCGGTTGTTCATCAATATTTTCCTTGACCTCTTCGTCATTGTCCGAATCTTCGGTGTCGGTATCAATCCATTCGAAACCTGGATGTTGCTCTAACCAGCGTTGGAGATCACGCAATAATGGCCCATCTTCGCCCGAGTATCGTTGACCGGTCGCTGGATTCACGACGCTCACATGCAAATCATCGGCCGAAATCTCATCGATGTCGGAAAAGTTACCGCTCTGCAACATATCTTTCTTATACTTGCGTTTGCGTCGAATGTCCTCTTCCTTCTTCTTTTGCTGATCGTCTTTGTGCTGTTTCACCATCTGAGTCAAATTGCTAATATACTCATCGGTTTGCGACAGCAAGAATGCCAAACGCTTATCTTTCTTCTGATCGATAAGTTTACGATAACCTTCTTCATCTTCGGCCATCAAACGGCGCATACGTTCCTTTTCGATACGCTCCTGTTCCTTCTTCTGTTCGCGCTCAGCATTTGCATGATAATTCATGACCGCTTTGTTGACACGCACCAAACGTGCCTGATTGTTGCGATGATACTCCTTGAAATCTTTGTAGTGGGTTAGAACGGCCGCCAAAAATTCTTGATGCTTTTGCCGACGTTTGCGTTCGGCTTCGAGTTTTTGTTGTTTCTCCAATTTTTCGGTGGCCCGAGCCTCACGCAATCCCTGACGCTTGGTGCGCTTGTACGATTTTATATTGATGGCTGTCTCAAGCGTTGTATCACGACGGCCACACTGTACAATTTCACTTCGTAGCTGACGCTGGAAATTCAACACACGCAATGCACGTAATTCAATTTGAGCTTTGATACGCAAATCCTCTGGCATATTTGCGGGTAGATTACTTAGTTCCTCCATACGTAAGGCAATTCGTGATGCCATACGATTTTCACGCTCCTGCAGAATTGTGATCGGATCGATGCCAACTGGCTTGGCAACTGTGGTAAAACGTTGTTTCACACAAATTGGTGCAGGCGGCGGTTTCTCAGATCGATCATTCCTCGCGTCGGTGCGCGGTTCATTTGCATTTCGTTCACCACCCGTTGCGGCTGAGAGAAAGAGTGCGAGGGAAGAATAAGAGGGAAAATATGGGTTAAAAACGCGATGTTATTCAAATTCAATTTTCATTTGAAGGAAATGGAAAATAAATTGAATTAAAAAAAAAAGGATTTAATCAACGACAGCATTTCGATGAATATTTAGCAAGTGCTCACCTGGTGGCTGTTGATGCGATGGTAATGAAGATGGTTGCTGATTTGGCATTGGCCCTGATGGTGGCTGCTGATATGGGCTGGCTGGTGGTGTTGGACATTGTGGCGGTGATCGCCTCGTATTTCCAGCATTTGTATTGTTATCAAAGCCCGGTGATCCGGACAAAACTGCTTGGATCTGTTTACTCAACGGCTGATTTCGGGCCAATGAACGATAAGCCATGATTTGTACACGAAGTAATGTCATCTGATTCTGATTCAGATGCTGCTGCTTGGATGTTGCACGAAGTGCAAGCAATTGAGAATATCTAAATTGAGACGAAATGTAAATGTTTGGCCAAATTTTGAATATTGAATCTTCACTTTATTATTTAAAAAAATTCAATTTAAGTCAAAGTCAATCATTTTCTTCAAACAATTTCGAAGGAAAGATGAATGACAACTTTTTTTGTTATAAGAAATTGAGTTAAACAAGAATTACCTTGGATCCTCTTGAAGACCTTTTTCCTCCATTGAATCAATGGCGCGTTGTAATGCATTGAGATTTTCTTGAGCGGGTAAAACGCCGCTATTCTGTGCAGGCCCAAGTGGTGGCCCCTAAATATGAAAAACAGTTTGGATAAATTCATGACAGACATTTGATAAATTTTGTCGTTTTCTCAAGACTACCATAAACAAAAACGGAGAATTAAAATGTAGAAAAAGATGGAAAAAAAAAGTTGTTTGAAATTTTATTGACATTTTTCCCATTTTTTTTGACAAATATCTCTTGAATAAAGAGTATTATTTATAAATCAACCGAGCTGTTTGATAAAAAGGCGAGATAAAAAGCTTCACGATTAAAATTGTGTGGCGTGTAATCATATCTTGTGACGATAGCAAACTCTATTTCCATTAAAATATTCCATCACATGAATGTGCATCAGTTTATATTTACGCTCAATTGACAATTTTAGCCGTAATTTGTGTTTCTGTTGTTGCATGTGCAATTAATAAGTATTTTCAGTCGAGCTGTTAATATTAACAGAAAGAAATATTTCCAAGAACAGCTAAATTCAAGTGCGGCATTTGCATTGAGTGAATAATTTGTGGTCAGGCGTTCAATTACGAAGTTAGATAGTTCAATTGTAAGTAATCAAGAAACGTTTTTTTTTCTTTCAATATTTCAAAGAAATATAGCAGTAGCAACTATCATTCAATGGATTCAAGTAAATGCTTCGATTCATGTGAATTAAACGTGTTTATTTTCAATCATTGAATTTGAAATACATGTACATAATTGTAGAGCAATAAAGCGCTTGTGGCGTAATGTAAAATTGATATTTCAAAATTACCTACAAACATACACATGCACATGCACATATATGAATGACACTTATCATTCCGAAACATCAGATTCGGTAACCTCATTTGTGCGAACGACGTATAAAATGAGAAAGAGAGAGAAAACGTACATGCAAAAAGAAGAAATAAAGAACCCGCTTATAGGATTTACAGCTGTCAAAAAATATCAAAGTAAACACTTGAACACGCCTTTATTCGAATATGATGCGCTTGCCTATGTATTGATGTACATATTTTCCAACTTCAGAGCGTTATTTATTCGATTACATTTTCTTTGGTTAGACGGACGAGGAAAGCGACCGACAGCAGTTCTTTGTACACAAAAATGCCGACGGAAATCTTTTCGGATGCGGAAAATCAATTGATTGACGAGTGTTTTGCATTTGCCAAGGCATTGGTCAAAGATGCCGGTGAATTGGTGAAAGAGGGTTATTCAAAGTCAAACGATGACATGGGCATCGTTGAAAAGGAAGCCAAATGGGATATGGTCACTGACTATGACAAAAAAACTGAAGCATTTTTAATTGGTGCTATCAGCGCTAGGTATCCGGATCATAAGTGAGTGAATTTATTTCTATAGTTCTTTGTATAGCATCCATTCATGTATGAAAAGTGATGGAACAAATCATTTTCATCTAAAAATTATCACATTAAATCTTCTCTTCAGGTTTATTGCCGAAGAATCGGAAGCAACGAACAGTGCCTTAACGGATAATCCCACTTGGATCATCGATCCGATTGATGGTACCAACAATTTCATTCGGCATATTCCGTTTGTCGCCATTTCCGTGGCATTTGTATGGAAAAGGGAGATATGCCTTGGCATCGTCTACAACCCAATTCTGAACGATTTTTATTCGGCTCGTCTGGGAACTGGCGCCTATTTGAATGGCAAGCAAATCCATTGCAACAAATTGGAAAAACTCGAAGACGCCACACTCGGGCACGAAGTCTCTTTTCTTCGTGTGCAAAAGCATCGTGAACGAAACGCAAAGCAAGTGCTTGCATTTGCATCGGCAGCTCAAGGGTAAGGCACCATTTCGAATTCCATTCGGTGAAAAAAAGCTAATTAGAATATTTGTCTTTTTTTTTCTCGCTGGAATGTAGATTTCGGTCGTTTGGCTCGTGCTGTATCTCGCTAACATTCGTGGCAAGAGGCACTTTGGACGGTTATCAAATCAGTGAATTGTACGCTTGGGATATTGCAGCAGCAGTTTTACTAATACGCGAAGCAGGAGGCTACTGCTGCAAACCGGACGGTTCACCCATCGATTTGATGGATCCAAAAATCATTTGTGGCGCAACCAAAGAATTGTGTGATGCATTGGTTAAATTGAATAAAGAAGCGCTTGGCTTGTGACTTTGATGAAAAACTCTTTCAATTATTCACAACAAAAACGATATTTCAAAAAAAAATTTCATTTTGAAATGTCTTTTTGGGTGTAAATTTTTCAATTTTTCTTCTTTTCATTCTTGCCGTTCTTTTTAAAATTGCGTCTTCTTTTTCATGGAAAATACAAAAAAAAAATGCGGTTTTCAACTCACGTTTGGTGGCATTTGATGTCCTTGATAGCCCATTGGAGGCATGGGCTGCATTTGCATTCCAGCGTGTGGAGGAACTGGAAACATTTCGAAATTAACTCAATGTTAATCCAGTAAATGGCATTTGTTTCAATGAAAAATGTGGCTGGCACAATTGATACTTACCATGAGGTCCCATTGGTGGATGATGTTGCATATGATTTGGCGCCGATCCGAGATGCGATGGCCCATTTTGTTGTAAATGATGCGGTGGTGCATTCATTGGCATCTGTTGCATTATATGCCCTTGTTGAGCTGGAACTGCAATAGGAAAAAACCAATGATTTAATACATCGAATGTGATTTTCATGCGCAATGCAGCGAATTGGAAGATTAAATTGATTGTGACATACCGTGCGGCCGTTGTGGTGGTTGATGTGGTTGCTGCTGTACCTGTGAAGTAATAAATAGCGAGAAAAAACGCAACAAATTAATCAAAGTGACATTGAAAAATCAACTGTGTGTTAATTAGGGAGGGATTTTTCGGTTTTTCTCTGCATACCTGCTGTTGTTGTGATGGCGCCTGTTGTGCTGGAGGTGTGGGATTTGATGGATATGGGCTGTGAGGCGATTGAGATGGAGCTGGACTTTGTGCCGGTGGCCCCATTTCGATTGGCTGATTAACGACGCTCTCTCTCTTTCTCAAATTCTACAATAAAAAGAAGGAAAATTTAGATTCACTCGGAAAAAAATTCCACGCACATAAAATAAAAAAAAGCGCTTCATTCATTTTTCATATGAGCTATCAATTTGAAATTTATGTCTATTTTCAGTTTGTATTTCGTTTTCATTGGTATGACGATGACATGTCTTCCATTTGTGTGGCATATGCGGGCACACTTAACTAACTAACAAATTTCAATGAACGCTACACAGGCAGAAAAAAAAAACAGGACAAATAACATTTGGAATTTCGTTCATTTACCACACACACAAAATTAAATGCGATAAAATACACAATTTGTACAATTTATCGGTGCACAATAACAAAATGGCTGGTTTTTATATTTATATGAATTTTTTTTTCTTTTTCTCGAAGAGCTCGAATATTCGTTTGCTTGTTGTGTTTTCTCGTTAGACTTTGTGTGTATGCAGCAGTGTCTATACAGACGAAATTCATTCGATTGAAAACTACACCTAATTACATTGATTGAATCACCGTTTTTTCAATTTTATCATTTAAAATAAACTCACACGAATTTTACACAATTTATTCGATTCGCTGTCTTTGAATTTCTCGTACAAAAATTACTCGGTGAAAATTTACGTAAAAAAAATATTCACAACAACACAATTGCTACAATGATGCCATTACCGAGTCGACGAATGTCGCTTTTTTTTTGTATTTTTTTGCGGCTTCAAGCGCTCTCTACATCATTTCAAAGATGGCGACGCAATCATGAAGCTTCGTTTACACTCCGAGTAAATGGTCGATCGATCGGATAAAATGCTATTTTTAGGTCAAATCACCGAAATTATTGGAAATTTTCTAAATGAAACCAAATTCCTGCATTTATTTTGTAATCAATTTTTAATGGGAAAATTTCAATTTGATGGTTGAATTTCTTCGTTGCACACATTTCGTATACTGAAACATCAACACCGCCTGCTCGGCTCACAATTCCGTCCGCATTTTCGAAATAATGTGTCTGTGTGAAATGTCAAAGTCTCTCTCGCTCTCTGTCCATCATTATGCAACCAAAAATATAATTCTAACTTAGCGAAAAAAGAGGGTTATATATTCTTTGGCATTTGAGACAATTCGAAGAGGAGAAGAAAAAAAAGTCGAAAAATTTGCTTTTATTTTAAATTGTTATTCTAATCAAATCGTACGTAATTGGAATTCATCACAGTGTCAATGGTATTTTGGTGGTTTAAATGTCGAAAAAAAATAATAATGGGAAATCGTGTGTGCCGAAATTCATGAAAAATTGATTGATTCAGTATGTGCTCTGTCTCTCTTGATCTCTCGTTCTCCGTACATTATCGATGTATTGGATGAACAGTGAACACACAAAAATGCCCAAAACCCATTTGAATCCTCAAAATACACCCATTGAAATATTTTCAAAGAAAATTCAGATCAAGTTTTATTCAATTCAGTCTATCATTTAATGTTCAATATTTTGCAATTTCCTTTTTTCAGGCAATGGCACGTCTGGTACAAGGTTTACGGTGTGTTGTCAATCAAAGTTTTATGGTTGCACGAGTGGCCGGACCACGCAACATTTTCCAACATAGATGTATGCACCATGGACTTTCATCGACTGGCCTTATCGCACCATCGCTAGTCAAATCCGTTCAGGTAATTCTAATGCTTGATGCACATTTTTTTTTCTACGCTCCGGCTCATCTCATTCACATCTCTTAGGGGTCGAAGTGCTACTGTGTCGGCGATTACATTATTATCAATTGATATTTGATTCTCGAAATGAAAAACCGAATATTCAATGATTTTCCTTTGGTTTGATCCGACGACCCCAGTAGCCACATAACTGGATACCCTTTTTAATCACAACTTAACCTCATTTTGTGTGTGTACTATTCCTTTTTTCAATTGCGTAGTTTTATTTTTTTTACTACAAAAACAAAGTAAATCTAATCTGATCACTTGTGACAGGTAATGAAAATTTTATCGAAAAACTACTCCGCAAGCAAACCATTGACCCAACCAGAAATCGAAGAACGAGTCCTCAAAGTTGTCAAGAGCTACGATAAAATTGTTGCCGAAAAGGTACACATTTTTAATGAATTTTAATGTGTGTGTGTGTTTTTTTTCTCTTCTCTTTTTTTCTTCGGGGCCCGGTCTTGTGTGTTTATGTTGAATAGAAAATTCGCTGCTGGCAATCGAACCCGCCAAAGTCGATGAATTCGAATGTGACCATCACTAGACATTATTCAGCCAAACAACCGCTTACATTAAAATTAATTCAAGAACGCGTCTTATTAGTGCTCAATTTGTACGATAAAATCGACCCAACAAAGGTATCTTTTCTTTTTCATTTTGTTCTGTTTTTGCAAAATTGATTCTAAATTCATGACGGCTGGAATAGATTCGAATATTGAATTCTTTTGGTGTTATTATCGAGGGAGATTTTTGTGCCAGCAACGTATTTTTTTTATTCCTTAACACTTGAATTATATTTACAATCATTTACTGTTGCTTCGATAGCGATTCGAAATTCATTTTGTAGACTAGAGAAGATGAAAATCTTCGGAAAAAGATGTTTGCACTCAGTAAAATGGTTGAACAAAATAAATTTTCAAATATCGACCATTTTAAATAAATGAAAACATCAATTGAGATAACAGTCGATGATTTTAGGTAAAATTCAAGACAGCCCTCGGCTAGAAGATCTTTTGTCTATTGAAACATATACGTTTTTTCTACAGTTTTAAAATCTAATGGTATCGAAATTCCCTCATTTAGCTTACACCAGACTCACATTTCATAAACGATTTGGGTTTGGATTCCCTGGACCACGTCGAAGTGATCATGGCCATGGAAGATGAATTCGGTGAGTAAACTTGTCAAAATTTCCACACAAAAAAAACTCCCTCCATTTCCATTAATTGCATCTAAAGAATGGAACAAGTCAACTCACGACTTTTCAAAGGGAAAAACCTATTTTTTTTCATTGACCACTCGTGACCAAGTCTTGCACCAAAAAAATGTTATTTGATTCCATTGAAAAATGCCTGCCTCCCGTTTAGGTTTTGAAATTCCTGATTCAGATGCGGAGCGATTATTCCGGCCAAAGGATATCATTCAATACATCGCCGACAAAGAAGACATTTACGAATAAAACTCCTAGACAATGTAAAGAAACGCAAGATCACGACTCAACCTTGCGTACAATAATGAAAGAAAGAAAACAAAACAAAAACAAAAAACATGAAACTAAAAGGGAATTTTTTTTTCTGCGAATGCTTTAATTTCATTCAAATAAATTGGATGCAACCTCTAATTGTTTTCCGTAAGAGAAAATGCATAAAACCGAAAAAAAAGATATCTGTAGGAACAAAAAACTTAATAATAAAGAAAATTTACCAAAAAAAAAAACCCAACGTGGATTGAGTACCTTATTGTATCTCTTATTGAATGTAAAGAATTATGCAATTTAAAACGAAATGCAAAAATTTAAACTCGGCATTACGAGGCATGAGTGCATTTCGTAGCGACAAATCAAAACAAATCAAAAACATTTGAACGAATATTTCGGATGGATGAGTGTTTTAGTTACAAATATTGCCGCTGTGTGTGCGGCTGCACACACTCACAGCCAGTGAGTTTTGTCACATCGTCGTAATTGTCGTCAACACGAGAAAAAGACGGAATTGAGAATGGCAACGTTTTATGCAGCACTGCATTGAACGCGCACATCTCATTTGTTGCTTCTTCTTTACTATTTTTTGGCATTTTTTCCTGTGTTTTTTCCTCAGTTATCTCGTTCTCATCCCATCGACCGCCGTATCCATCTCTATCTGGTGTCAATAGTTGTTTCTTTCTAATTTTGTCGGATTTGTTTTACGCTACATTCCGTGAGCGCAGACATATTCTCTATCACAAGCCAAAACTTAAGAGAGAAAAAAAAACTCAATCACACAAAATAATTTCGGATACACATACATAGAGAGAGTAAGTGTCCGAAAAAAGCGAGCGAATAACAAATACGGTAAAATTGTCAGTAGAATCGAAAAAAAAATTCTACATTGAATTGTAATCACTAGAAATCGGCTAGTGTCAAATATTTTGAATGTGGCATATGAGGAAAAAAAAATTCGTATCAATTCAATAGGAAAAAAATCGAGAGTAAAGCAAAGCATCAAGTGAAAAAAAAAATTTGAAGAAGAAAAAAAGAATAAATTCCCTTTAACCATTTCAAATAAAACAAGCAGCAGAGTAAAAAAAAAACGGTTCGCATTGGCTGAATTGTTCGAAAATCGTGTGTTGAATGTGAGTTGCTTGAGTTTTGTTGCCTTTTTTTCCGCTGGTGGTAGTGTGTAAACCAATGAGTAAGCCCAATATAGAGCGTGTATGTGTGTGTGTATGTTTGAGTGTGCATGAGCCTGTGTGAGTGTGTATAACGCGATGACCTAAACTGAAAACTCATAACCACTTCGTTGAATAAATTTCATGTATGTGCGAAGCGAACGAATGAAACAGATCGACAACGAAGACGACGACGACGACGACAAAGCAGGGCTACCACCGTACAAAAACAGTGTACAGGCCACGAACAAGCAACGACCAAGAAGAAGAAGAAGAAATAAGAAAGAAGAAATAATGTAGTATATATAACGAGACAACTATTGAGAATTCGAAATAGCTTGGTGTGTGCGTGCGTGTATGCATAAATGATGAACGAAGCACCGAATTTTAGCACTTTTTTTCATTCGACAGAGTTAAAAAGTGATGAAGTGAACAAATATTATAATCTCTAGTGTATTTGTGCGTGTATTCATAATAAATATACGTAAGTGATCCGATAAAGTGGTATTGGTGGGACATATAATAGGTGAAGAAAATGAAAGAAAAAAAAATAGGGAAAAAATAGAGAAATCTTTAAAGCCGGAACAATAAACATGCAATCAGTTTTGAATACACACAACGCAGCGAATGAACGAATGAAGAAAAAAAAAACGAAGAAATTAAATGAACAACTATGCTTTTGAATTCTCGGTAGAATCATGCATTTTTAATGGCCCCATCCATAGAATGAATTTTTATTGGGGAAAGAATGATGTGTATAGTCCATTTTTGGTGTTTCGATTCAAGTGTAAGCAATCTCGGCATTACAATTTTTCGATTTCGTTTGTGTGTTCCATTCTCTGTTTTTCTCTTCTCACTCACTCGCAATCGGATTGCCCGGTAAATGTGTCAATGCTTTTTGGCTTTCAAAGATTCTCTCTTTGAATTATATATAAATTGTTCTTCTTTTTTTTCATCTTCTCTCTTTATTGTCATCATCATCTCTATTCGAAAGAAGAGAAAGAGAAATAAAGGTTTATTTTTTGTTCGCTGTACGTGGTCGCGCGTTTTTTTTTTGTCGACATATCATTCCGCCGATATTCCGTGTCGTGTGTATTTGACAAGCCAAACGAAATATTTTTCACTCTTTGGTGTACGTTTTTCTTTTGATATTTTTTTTTTCTTTGCTTGTTGTTGCGTGTACTGTACTTTTCTGAAACACAAAGTTCAATTCGTTGTCACGGATCATACATAGCATTGACTAACATTGGCTTGTTTGTGTGCGACTGTACGTGTGCGAGCGTAATCTTTTTTATTTTCTCTTTGCTGTTGTTGTTGTAGCATTTTGTGTATGTGTATGTGTATGTGTGTGTGTGTGTATGTGTGTGCTTGCGCGTGTGTGTACATGATTTGCAATGGTATTCGGCCTGTGTATGTGGCCGCGGTTGTGTGTGCAAGTGGAAAGCGTTTATTTGAATTGAAATTTTATGCGTTGCACTCATGGCGCGAGCGCTAATTCGACAAGCGAATTTCTATGCGAAACTGCATCGACTGCTGTATATTGGAATGAAAAATAGGCGGCCAACATTGAGATTGTTGTTTGTGTTGTGTGTTATTGTTGTCCTTATTTTTCGCACGTTCGTATATTCGCGCGCTTCTCATGCACCAAATAAAATAGCGCGCGCGACAAAAACAACAACAACAACAACGACGATGACGATAAAATATTCTCTACATATATGTGAACGGCTCTTCGTTCATTTACGACCATATTCGAGTTACGCTGTTTAGGAGCGAAAAAAAGTAGCGAAAAAAAACCTCGAACACACCATACACACACATTTTTCACCCATTCTCATGATTGTTGTTTTTGTCGAATGGTTGTTGATCGTTCGGTTTTGTTGTTGTGGTTATTATTACTGCTATTGGAATATAAGTGTGCGTTGTGTATTGTGTTCAAGCGAGTGCTGTCTCCATTTGCTGTCGCTGCCATCGTCGTCGTCGTCATAGCTCTGTGTTCAAATTGCTCATTGTGCATAGACATACGAGAAATCATGTTTTTATTTCTTTTTCGAACTATTTTCCTTCGATACATGAACGTTTGGCAGCGGCGTCGGCGGCAACGGGCACAAGAGAGTGAGACCGCGTAAACGAATTGTTGATACTGTCGCTATTTCATCTCATTCGTTCGTTCGGCCATCCATTCGTTGTCGTTCTCATTCTGGTGTGTCTTGATATGCGCGCCGATCAAATCGTGCAAATCACCGTGTATTATACACCATACACACATCATCATCGCATCGTATGTATTTTATTGTGCTGTTGTGTGTCTTCTCACTCACTCGTCGCTTGCTCACTTCATGTGTGCTGTGTGTGTGTGTGTGTTTTTTTTTCTTTGCTTCTCTTCTCTTCTCTTCTGCTTCTCTCGTCGTGTTGTTGTTGTTTGCCACCATCATATATTCATTCGCTCTATGCATGACACACGAGAGTATGCGACTATTTGCTTTGCTTCGTCTCTTTTCCGTCCGTGCATAAACATTCGTTTCGGAGTTCTTGTGTGGCTCGCATGTATGTTACTGAGTGTGTGTTTCACGGGTGCCTGTTCACTTTTTTCCCTTCTTCTTTTTCTTCTTCTTCTTGTTCATTTCATTTCATTCTCCTGCTTCTTTTTCACTGTAGATATTCGTTCGAGTGCCGAACGTTGCTGCTCGTATGAGCGTCGTCATTTACAAACGACATGTAATGCGGGGGTACTGTGTGCGTCTTTTTCTGTTTTCAATTTGCGTGTATTTCATGCGATTGCCATGAAATGAAGAGAAGAAGAAAAAAAAACACACCAAACGAAAATTCAAACGAATCGAAGCGAATGTCAAAAACGAACAGAGGGAAAAGGAAAGAAGAGATAGAAAGAGACCGAATGTGTGTATATGAGAGTGTGTGATCGGGAAAAAAAGGCCGAAGAAGAAATAATAATAAAAAAAAAGAAGAAGCAACGAAGAGAAGACGCAAGCAGAACAACAACAGCAACAGCAACAGCAACAGCAACAGCAACAGCAACAGCAACAGCAACAGTAACAACAAAAAAACGTATATCCAAACGAAATATTATAGTGAAATTCGAGGTGGATGAGTGTGTGTGCGTGTGTGGATTGTGTACAATTGATACACATTTTTTAGTGTAATTTTGTGCGCGGTGAACGAATACAGAGCGCGAGAGTCAAGAGAGTTTGTGTGTTTGCAGCAACCGAGAAATTCTAATTTGAATGAATGTTTAGACAAGCGAATAAAAGTAATACATACATTGTTTTGTTGCGAATGGAGAAGCGAGAAAAAAATAACCGAACACACACACACACACACTCATATAAATTGAACTGAAAAAGCAACAACAATAACAGAGAGAGAAAAAAAAAACAACAGCAGCAGCAAAGTATTGAAAGAAAAAAAAATACATTGAAAAGGGAATGAGTGATAGAGAAAGAATGTGAGAAATAGAGAGAAAATATACATTGAACGAATAGAGAAAGACAGAGCGGGTCGCGCGCGATACACAACGAATACGCTCATCGAGCGACAGAAAGAGCGCACAAAATCCGTAATAACAGTATAAGAGTAACAATAAATAAATAAGAAAACTATGCACATATCTCTCATTACTGTACACAAAATACAGTGAAAGAAAATCATAGTCGCATTGCAAAGAAAAAGCTGAAATTATTCCGTGGAGTAAATTTTTTTTTCTTCTTCGAGTTCGCGCTCCGTGTTTAATGCTTCGAAATTCCAAAATCCAACCGAAGCAACAGACAAAAAAAAATTAATAAAATAAAACAAAATCGAAATAACATTGTTGAGAAGAAATTCGTTCATTTTTGTTTTTCTCGTTGATTTTGTGTCCGTTTCCAAAGACCAAGTTTTCTTTTTTGGATTTGTTGTGCTTTTTTTGCTCAACATTTCTCTTCTCTTCGTTCTGTCTCTCTGATTCCTTGGTGCCGTTGATCATTTTTTCTTCCAAAGCAACATTTACTTTTCTGGTGTTTTCACAGTGTTTATTGTGTGTATTATTTTTAGTTGAACATGACCAATGTAAAGACAGTTATTTTTCGTTTTTTCTTAATCATGTTTGTATGTCAGAAAAGTTTGCCTCGTTTTTAAAGTTGAAAACAAAAGTCATGCATGTGTGTGTGTGTGTGTGTGTGTTATTCGGCTGTTTCAGTGTTCAATTCGATTTTCATTAATAAAAATTATAGTAAAAAAAAGGGGTTTGAATTAACGCGGCGTTAGCATTTAATAGTATATCTATGTAACGATAGGAATAGAAATCCGCTGAATGAGCAATGATGGCATTTTGTTACTGGTTTCTGTGAATGAAGTGATTGAATTTCTTTTTTTGTTTTGTTTTTTTTTTTTTTTCATTTACGACAGAAAGCAACATTGGGAAACAGTATTGAGATCGATCTCTCTCTCTCTCTCTCGTTGTGTATAATTGGTGAAGTGGTGCGACAGAATTGACGTTGAACGAAAAGGAAAGCCCATTCAAGTGACGGGCATAAACAATCACAAGTGAAGCGATTGCAGCAGATAAACGCTAGACGAAAATTATCTTAGCCAGAGAGAATAGTGAATTACGAAAGAGAGAAGAAGAAAAAAAAAACAACAACAACACATAATAACAACAGCTACGAAACACATAACAATAGAAGCAGCAACAACCAGCTAACAACAAAAAAGTAAAGATATATAAACAAAAAAAAAGAACAGCGCACGCGACCCAAAACGACAAATTTGAGCATTGTGGTGTAAAAAGTAAAGGAGTACACCATCATTGTAGCAAAATAATAATAATAACAACAACACAAAAATGAATACGACATGTAGAGCATGTTTAAACTATACGGACAACGGTGTCCGACTATTAACATTGTACAAACACTACCATTATTTGCCGATAATGATATGGAATTGCACAGGCATTAAGGTGAGTCGATATATATCCCTTTTATTCCCTCTTTCTCTCTCTCTCTCTCTCTCTCTATGTGTGTTTTTCCTTGTTCTTCCTCTTTATCATAAGCAAACACAGCACACAAGCTCACTCCACATTATCGTCGAATCAATTTTCATTCAATTTTAAACACCAGAAATGTGTGTGACCTGTTAAATGCGCTGGCCCAATGATATGAATTTTTATGTAATGTACTGCTGTGTGCTTTTTTTCTGTTTTCCTCTACACAAATCGCAACTAAACAATATAAACCAGCCACTTCCCATCGATATCAAATTTTGTGTTGTCGTGTGCGATTTTGTGTGTGTTTTTTTTTGCATGTCGTTCGATGCAACTATAGCGATACTCTTTCAACAACAAAACAACACAACACTCCACACACAAACATACGGCTATTGACACAGCGTACATGCTCAATATACCGTGTGGCATACGGCATTCCCTTCTCTCTAATCACTCATTTCATTTTTAATTGTGAACGATTTGGATTTTAAATGAATATATTTTGCATTTTTTTTTCTCTTCTTCTTCAACAACTTTGCTTTCTCTCTCTCTGTGTGTGTGTGTGTGTTTAGGTTGATGATTCGGAAACCGATCACAAGCTGCCGTTGTGCCCACCGTGTGCCGATAAATTGATTGACATCAACGAATTTCGTACTATGTACTTGGAATCTCATGAAAAGTTGAAGAAAAACCTAAAAGAGTGCCTAAAATACTCCCCGAACGATCAAAAACAACCGCTCAACAACAACAATTCCACGCATGACGGCGATATGGATGCAAAAAACAGTGGTGCCACAACAGCGACCAATGTCAAAGGCGCCAAAATAAAAATCAGCGCTGACGATGCCTACAACAACATTATCATCGATGAATCACAATTACTGCATCGGTGAGTGCATTTTTTAGTTCTATTCTTTTTGATTAGAATAAAGCGAGCTATTAAACTATATTCATATGTAAATTTATCGGCATCGAAGACCGAGCAACAGCAAAATTGTGACTAATTTGAGGAATAATTTTATTTTTGTTTCTCTTCTTTGGTTTCGTTTTTCAGAGATCAATCAAACAACAAGGAGAATAATATTGTTGACATTGCCATGAGCATGGCGGGAGGTAGTACGGTTGTTGGTTCAACAGTGACCACTGTCAATTCGGTCATGCAAAATGTATCGAATGGGCCGGCGAAAAAGATGAAAACAAGTCGACCGAGCAAATCACGCAAGAAACCAAATCAAACAATGGTTCAGATGGCCGCCACCAATCATCATCATGACAACAAGCAACAACTGATGTACGATGACACCAACATCCTGGACATGAACAATGGCAACGGCACCGATGCAAGTGAACTGCAATACATCATCTTACAAAGTGACACCAAAATATTCAGCTGTAGCAATTGCGAGCAACAATTCATCAGTGAAGATTTTCTCAAGCAACACATTCAAAAAGCACATCCAATTGTCACTGAATTGGTACAAACGCCGGCCTTATCACCGATGTCCATGAATCAGCAGGTAAATATGGTGTGTTGTCGTTTCGTTTAGTTATTCCAATCACATTTTGTTTTTTTTTTTTTTTTCGTTTTTCGCCGACGAGTATGTTTATGGATTTACTCGAATTGGTGTAAACATGAACATTAAAACATTTTTTTTTAAATGGTTATTTCTATTTTGTCTATTCCTCTCGGTCTCCATCCTCGCCCGCACGTTGTCCTTCGGTAACAGGTTCCAACGATCTACTTGTGTCATTTCTGCGAATCGAAACAGTTCACGTCCGAGATTCAGTTGAGTCATCATATGTACATTCATGGTGAAATATCGGCGGGCACATTATCTGACAATCCGTTCCCATTCTGTTCGTGTGAACATTGTTTGCCATTGCAAACGGATAAAATGATCGTTGGCGAAGTGGAGCCAACCGAAGCCGATTTGGTTGCAATGCAACAAACCATTCACACCATTGAAGAGCCACAACAGCCGCAGCAACAGCACCACCACCAACAACAGCAACAACAACACCATCAACAACAACAACAACAGCAGCAGCAGCAACAGCAACAGCAGCAGCAGCAACAGCAACAACAACAACAACAACACACGGCGCCCATTCGCCAAATCGTTCAAACGGCATCAGGTAAACAACAAACCCTGTACTCGTGCAGTGTTTGCAATAAGTCAACATTCAAGACAGAGCATCGCCTAAAGAAGCACATGCGAATCCATCGAAATGAGCAACCGTTCTCGTGCGACATTTGTCATAAAGTGTATAATGCCAGTAGTTCGTTAAAGACGCATCAGCGTATGGTACACGGTGGTGTAAGTAGTACGAGTAACGCAAATAATACGATCACAAACCAAATCAACGACAATATGGTGGAAAAAACGGTGATCGATGATCCAAATGCTGCCGTTGCCGATGGGCCCGTTCAGTGTTCAATATGCCTAAAACAATTTGCAAAGGCTCAACAATTAAATGTGCACATGAGCACGGCACACGCAATGACTACGACGTCAAATGAAAACGATGAAGAAGATCCATCAAGCACAGACAAAATCACTGATATAGCTATGGAATAATCATTGGATTCTCGTCTCTAATTAATTTTATTGCGTTTTTTTTTTTATTTTATTTACTTTTCTTGGACTTCGTTTTTGTTATTTAATTTTTTAAACAGCAAATCGAAGGAAAAGGAATCACTTTCATTTTAGACTTAGAACCTACTTAAAAAGAAATCAATTTTTGAAACAACAACAATAATAAAAAAAAAGAGAATCAAGTTAAACGATAAAAAAAAAGAAACAACAATTCATACAAGTGGGTAAAATAAAAATCATGTAGGCAATCAGAGCATAGCAAAAGAGAAATAAAAAAAAGTAATAAGAAGAAACGATAAAGAAAATGATATACAAAGAACAAAACGCATATGGAAAAGTTAAATTTAAATACAATAAATTATCTGGAAAAAAAAGAAGAAAAATAATCAAAAAAATACAACAACAACAACAACAACAAACAATCGACTAGAAATGTCGACAATACACACACATACAAAACATTGCTTGCCCGGTTCGGCACGTCTATTTTCGACAGTTCTTATTTGAATTTAATTATTTTTTTTTTCTTTTCATATTTAGTACATAAATACGTTTTAATTTCATATACTTTTCTCTCTCTCTCTCTTTCACACACACAAACACTCTTTCTCCTAATTTTCTTTTCCTCCTTTTCCCCTTTTTAAATTCATTATCCTGTAAAGATCAGTTCATTGAATATATATAAACAAATGAAAACAAAACAAAAAAAAATTTACTTTTAGAAAATACGAAAAAAAAAAGATTAAGAATATTTTTGAAACAAAAATGATATGTATTTAAAGAAACAAAAAATTGAGAAGAAAAATAGATGGTATTTTATTACAAACGATGATGATGATGATGATGATGATAAATAAGAAAAAGAAAAGAAACGAAAACTGAAGAAAAAAAAATAATGATGAAAACAAACAAAAAACAAATCTCTTTTATTGTAAGTCAAAATTATTATGGAATACATGGAATTCGTATTTATAGCACATTGACTTTTGCTGGATGGTTTAATGTTCCATGCTTTTCTGTAAATAAAGAAAAATGATGGTTTTCACGTAAATTCTATGGGCATTTGTTTCATTCGTCTTTCTTTTTTTTTCCGTCAAAGAATCTTTTCTCGATGGATTTTGCATCTCAACGAAGAACAACAGTCTCAACAACACCAGTAATAATAATTTCATTTGAATTGGCGCTGTTTCACTAGCGGCACTTGTTGAAAACAACGATGAGCGTCACACGGCATACATATGACAGATCTGAGAAGTGTCAGTTTACTTCAGTTCAGAGTAAAATTGTGTGTTGTCGGTGCAAACGTTTACACGTTTGCTTTTAATTTCGTTGTTAATACGGAATTTGGAACATTTAAAGCAATTGCAGCACAATGTCTGAGCGAAAAGTGTTGAATGTAAGTACAAAACTGGTTTTTCTTCTGAACATTACATGAAAAAAAGTCAAATTTTTATTATAGAAAATGCTAACCTTGATTTTTTTGTATCTATTTCTACCAAACAGAAATACTATCCGCCGGATTTCGATCCGTCGAAGATTCCACGCATGAAATTGGCCAAAAATCGCCAATACACCGTTCGTTTGATGGCCCCATTCAATATGCGATGCGTTACATGCGGCGAATACATTTACAAAGGCAAAAAATTCAATGCACGCAAAGAAGATGTTGAACACGAAACATATTTGGGCATTCGCATTTATCGATTCTATATCAAATGCACGCGATGTTTGCAGGAAATTTCATTTAAAACCGATCCACAGAATACGGACTATGAAATTGAAGCGGGTGCAACGCGAAATTTTATGGCATTGAAATTGGCCGAAGAGCAAGCAAAGAAAGAACTTGATGAGCTGAAAGAAGAAGAGGCTAGCAATCCGATGAAATTGCTAGAGAATCGAACACAACAATCACGAAATGAAATTGAGCTGTTGGAATCGTTGGAAGAGCTCAGAGATTTAAATCGACGACAACAAAGTGTTGACTATGAAGAAATGTTAAAGCAATATGTACCACAAGAGACGCCCGAAGAGATGGAAAAACGTCTCGAACGTCAAGACGAAGAGTATATTAAGTAAGTGAATTCAAAAACGTTTTTGCAATCATGAATGTTTTACTGTTGGAAAGTCTAATAATAATGTATTTTGCCCATTGCAGGCAAGTAAAATTCCACGGTTCAGGTGGGAGTGTCGTGAAACGAGTGGCCGAAGAGCAAATCATCGAAGTTGAAGATTTGGCAGCCAAACAATCCAAACCAACAATTGACACGGAGAAAAAATCAAGCCAATTTTCGTTAGGGACATTCAAAAAACCGCAAACAAGCCGAATTGGTTTCGGCCAAAAGTCTTCATTAGCGAATTTAGTTAAACGAAAATCAGTCACACCTACTTCAACAACTACCTCGGTAACTGTTACAAAGAATACCAGCGTTTCGACTACGGAAGCGGTTGTGGACAAACCTTCACCTCCACCAGCAAAAGTGACCAGCACAACAAATGCACTGTCACTGCTCGGTGGATACGATAGCAACAGCGATAGCGACTAAATCTTAATTATAATTCTCGATAGTTCATATGAAAACTTCGTTTATATTGTTTCAAGTTGATGGAAAAAATTAAATTAAGCACATTTTTCGAAGTACTCAGCTGTGTGTTGGTTTCATTAAGTAATAATTAACTAGTCGTTTCGATTTGAGTTTCGATATCTATTTCGACGATAGGTATTGGTGTCCATTGTTCGTTCCGTGGCACCAATGCCACCGCTACAATTTTCGGGATCTTCTGGACACGCTGTCGTGCATTCCTCAAACGACGTAAAAATATTCCGTCGCTCTTCCTTTATACAATCGGTGTTGAACACCGTACACGTACATTCGGTCGCATTATAGAATAAGTAATTTGTTGTGACGTCAGATCGTTCGCATTTGTCCGGATCGGGTAAAGTCATACAAAAATCTAAAAATGGTTTGAAAAATTATCTCTTATTCTTTCGGCCTTATGGTTTGATGTGTGTGTGTGAGTACCTTTATTTTTGCATGGTGGCAAACTACAGTCAACCGTTTCGAACATTGGCGGGCATTCGGGATTGTACGACTCTCGTGTACGATTCATTTTGCCAGTGCCACAAGTTACATCACAAGTATCGTATTCCCATTTATTTTTGTGCGGTGTATTGCTACAATCAACTGTTGCTTTTGATTGATCCTCTTCCGCAGGCGCATCAGTCTGAGTCTCCGTATCAATCGATTCGGTTGGATTATTATCGTCCTAGAAAAACCCAAGCAACAATCATTAACATTGCCTAGAATCTATTGACAATTTTGAATGTCATTCAAAAGGATTTTCTTTTTTTCTTTCTTTCTTTCTTCTTCTTCTTCTTCTTTTTCTTCTTCTTCTTCTTCTTCTTCTGAATTGATGATTGAATGCACGCGCATAATAAAAAGTATGAATTCGAATTGATATCACATGATACAACAGATTTTCGGTTTTATTTGCAAAACAAATTCAATGATTACAATATGTGTGACTAAATGCTAATGTTACAAACATACACAGCAACAGAGATACAAAATTCAAACATACTAAACAAGTATATGAGCTAATGATGGATTTAAATGATGACTGCGCAAACTACCAGCTGTTTACCTGATTCCGACGAACGCACATTTCCTCAATCTCACACGTTTCCTCAATCACTGGCGGCCGCCGATCTCGACCCTGAAATATTCAATAAGCATATGATTTTAGGAGGAAAAAATGGTTTTGTTTGTTTAAAATTCGCTATGCAAAGCGATAACTTACGGCGCATTCTTTGAACGATCCCTTTCTAAATTTCAACGTTTTCGTACGTTTTCCCTTTTCGTATTCCGAGTTTTTACATTTTGGAGAGCACGGCGTCCAGTCGCTGTAATATGATTTGGATTCACACTGTGGATCGTATGGAACGTTCTCTTCATTCTCTGCAAATATCCCAGTTTTTTTTTTTCAAGTTCAACACAAAATGAATCAGTTGTGCGAAACTCAAACGAAAAAATTCAACAGAATCGGAAGAAGTATTTGAGCGAGATGAAAAATCATAAAATGCAAGCAAAGCAAAATTAGAAACAAGTTGGAAAAAAAAATTGGGATCAAAAAGGGTAGATCGATGAGCCACAAAGGAAAAAAAAAGTAAAGAAAGTTTGTAGAAAAGATGGTTGAAAGTTCAATTTGAATTAAGAAATAAGAAGAAAGGAAACAGATCATCCAATAGAAGCATAAGAAAAAGGGTTTTCTATGGTATGGATTAGAATCAATTGTGTATACCATATGTGCATGGTGGCATGATGCACGTTTTTGTTTCAAACAATTTTCGATGGCATTTGGTGGCTTTATCCGGATTCTTGTAATATCGTTGTCGATATTGTTTACCAGTTCCGCCACAAACGGCTCCCGTGCACTCACCCCAAGCACTATATTCACCAACCTGACAATCATCACTCGCTAAGCTCACCACAGTAAAGATGTGTTTTTCAAAATGAGATGTGTCGAATTTTCATATGATCAAATATGAAGTGTATACAAAAAAAGATGCGTGTATTCGAGAGAACAAGAAAAAAATAGTAAAACAAACAATGACAATTTACTACAAAATTACCGTTACATCAACAATCTAAAACCTAACTACAAAGCGTGTGAAGCTTTGGGAGAAAAAAAAATTATTGCCGAAGCTCAAAACAAATCCAAGCGCTTTATTCACCTGATTGCTCAGCCGTACAGTTTTTCTCGTATAATCGTTGCCGCAACAATGTCAATCGGGCGAGTGGCTTCATTTTTGAACCGCTTTGACTGTAAAATGGTGAGTCTACATTGTTTGGCGATTCGGATGAGATACGACGAATATACTCCGGCGGTCGTGACGGTTGATCGGGCGCCTGGAAAATCGTAACGAAATGTTAAGATTAGAATACTAGTAGATACAAGGAATTTTTGATTCTAAGGGATGGAAATTCAGTGTTTAAAATGTCTTGAAATTCAAAGTTTGAATAAAAAAGCATGTCGATCTCAGAAGAATCAACTAAATTATTGAAAATAATGAAAAGTTTGTTTTTGAACACAAGTGTAATTAGTAATTACATCATAAGTGGCACCTTTGTCGGTACCAGCATCCCAAGGATATAAATCGACGATTTTGCTCTCGAGCCAAGTGCAATCCGATTGGCACAATTCCAACGAAGTCACGCCAACAAACCAATCAGGCGATGGAGAGATCATCGATACGAATGACACCAAATGATGCTCAGGATCAACACGAAATACAGCAAATGTTTTTCCCGTTATATTTGGATACGATAAACCACGTGCTTTAATTATCGTACGGATGCTGTCACTCTATCGGAATTGTTTGATGGATCATATTACTTTTTATTTTTATTTTTAAATTAATTTATTTTAAAAATTTAAATTCCAAAGAGGAATGAAGATTGGACAAAAACATCAATACGATTATGAATTATGCGCACCTTATTTTTCAGTTCAGCTTCAAGTGTTCGGGTGGATCCCATTTCAGCAACTTCCTTCAAGCCCTCACTGGCAAAATCTCCATTGGCCCAAAATCTTCATTCGATATTTAAAAAAAAAACTCATTTGATTGCATTGCTTGACTTAAAACCAGTCATTGATTGAATTAACAAAGAAACAGTTTTACCCATTGCCAACCGTGTGCGTTGCTCCAATAATATCGCCAAACTTCGTGGTGTAAACATTGCGAGGGAAGTCCTTTGGATGCGTATTCCGTGACCATAAACCTTCGAATGTTAACTAAAAATAGAAGAAAACACCTGAATGACCAATGATTCAATACCATAACCAACTTTCACGAATAAAATACAACACCTCATATTTAGCCTCATAGCAAGCACAACACTCTTCAACTATATTTGTTATATAATCCTCTTGAGTATCTTCATCTTCACAGAAATCTTTGCTCAATGGTCCATCGTCCATATACCAAACATCGCGATGTTCAATTACTGTTGCTCGAAACGTAACACATCCGCTGCCCGGTTCGGGTGCAGTCCAATTGACGGCAATTTCATTTTTTGCCGTTTCACTCGTGTGTGTCATAACATTACCACAAATAAGCTTGATCAACGTATTGTCTTCGCTCACTTTGAATGTACCGTGTTTGATTGGTGAAAAATCCTTCAAAGTCAACAGTAAGAAATGAGTATTTTTTATCTCAAATTTTTGAATTTGATCGAAGTAGATGCAATTTTAAATCAAAACAAATGAAATGAAAGTCTTCAAAAAATATATTTTTCAAGCTCAAGTATGAAATAGAAAATGATCTTACTTCTGAGAAAACCGATGTCATGTTTGTTTTCTGTTCAACGGCTAAAAAGAATCCGGTGAACGATGGTCGAGGTCGATCACGGATGCGAACTGCATTATTGGTTCGTTCAAGGAAAACTAAGTCGAAAATAGACAAATTCTCGCAGATTAAAATCAAATTTATATGAAAAAAAAAGAAAAATTTATCAAAAATTGAACCCAGAGAAAAAATCATAGAAAACTGCAATATTTCGGATTTGAATGCTGTTCAACTGAAAAGAATGACTAAATTACAGTCTTACTCGTGTATTGTCTGCCTGGTTTATAAACGCCAGAATCGTCAGAGAATCGAATACGAAAGTTGCCTGTTGATGGTGATCGCTTTGCGCCGGATCCTTCTGGAATACGACTGCAATGACCTGCATGCGCAACATCAACATAGCTAAACGCAATGATCACATGTACGATTAAATTAACTGTAACAAATTTGCGTGCAAACATCTCGCATCGGATAGCAAAATAGGTGTCACACAACAAGTTGAACGCTGCACGAATTTTATGATTGTGTTAGAGAGGAAATGGTTTACGCATCCGATTTTCATTGAACGTTTGAATGTCGTATTAGCACAAGCACTGCAAGAGAGTTTCAGTCGGCGAGCGAGCAAGCGAATTTTCGACCGAAACACACCCGTTATATATATGCACCAACACAATAAAAGAAAGACTCCAAACGAATATTTTTTGTATTGTTTTTCTCAATTTTCAAATAATAACTCCGCTTGATTGATGTTAATTAATGTGCTGGTCAAACTATTGCAATCGGTTGGACACATGAAATAAAAAGTAAATAAATGAACAGAATACACAAATCCCATTCACTTCACACACAATATGCCCCCTTCGTCGAATGTAGGGCCGCAAAAATTTCGGAATTAATCACATGCGTGTTTGCATTACACACTCGAACCAAAACTGACAAGCTGAGTAGCAAAACAATGAATCAACTCGATGCTGATTGATACACAGATTGATTTAAACTAACGAAAGAACGGGGAAAAAAAGTCGACATTGTGATGAGAAGGGGCCACCAAAACAACAGCAACAATCTTTTACTCCACAAAACAACGATTGCACCATTCAATTTTATTAGGTTACAATTTGATAACCAGCTGGACACGATGTTTATAATAATAATCATCATACACATGGTGAATCGCATCCTCACTCTCTCACTCTATCTAATTAGCTCGGTGTGTGTGTGTCTGTATGTCTCCCTTTCGATTTGCCTTTTTCTTAAACATATTTCAAATATTTCATCACTTTTACATGCAGAAAGTTCAATACTTTACAACGGTTCAATATTTTTGCTTGCAATAGTTTCCTCATTTTCACTTGAATGTATTCGAGTGTTCCAAAGTTTTTGCAGGAATTGATTTCGCAATACCGTTGCCATATCACACACATTTCGGTTCGATCGTCATAATCGGTTCTCTTTTTTGTCTTCGCGTATGTGATTTTTCTTCGTAGCATAGTCCAGGAGCAGCGAGAATAAACATCAACAAAACGAACAACGTACACGCAATATTATCATGGTCATGTCACGGGCACAGTGATAACAGCAAAATAAATCGTCGTCGAGACTCATTCAATGAAAAATTGCATTGCAAAGCGCACAGAACGCAGACGACAACAACAAACAAAAAAAAAAGCACACGCCGCAACCGATGATCATTTTAAATAAATCGTTCGCTGTTTTGCATTGCAGCACCAATACTGCTGTTGCCGCCCACAAGTCGACGTATAAAAGCAAACGTATTTGAATTTTCTTCGGAAATTGATAAATCAATTCGAAAAAGGAAAGTTCAAAAGCGAAAAAAAGTCAGTTTTTTGTTTGTGGGCAAATACGGTGGGCTCACAATCAATCGAAAGCAATGAACGAAGAAAACCACAGTCAAATGTTGTGATTTTGTGTAAACCTAAGATTATCGTTTTGTTTGTTATTGTGGAATTTCCAAAATAAGTACGTATTATTTTACTTTTTAGCGTTTTTAAGGTACATTAGAACAAAAAATCATTGAATCAAGGGAAACAAATTTAAACGTTATTATTTACATTTTGTATATGAGTCGGTTATTTTTAAACGCATTCATTTTAACCGAAACAAAAGTTAGATTTTTTTCGATTTGAACCAATTGAGAATGAAACCAATTCATTTCAAATGGAACACCAAGCCAACGACAGATCTAGTAAATTGGCCGACCCTTCACGATATGCGTATGTGTGAGCGTGTGTGTGTTTCTGTTGCTTCACCGTACCACACAAAATTCGGTGTATTATGCATCGTATGTTCTATGCGGCGTCTTGTACGGACAGCAGCATAACATCCATCTCTTTTCATGATGTGGAATAGTGTTGCATGTCAATGCATAACCACTCAATATGTATTGGTGCTGTCATATCTCATTCCCAGTTTGATGTTTGGATTATTTGTTTTTCCTTTCAAACGTAGTTTATATATACACAAAATATGCTACATGATGCGTCTCATTTACGGAGAAAATGACTAGAGAGAATAAAATAAACAGCATAACAAGCTGAATGTCTTAAGCATGCAATCTATATTTCGTTATTTACTATATCTGCGTAGAGATATTTATATGCATGTATGTCAATGCATTTTCTCGATAATTGCTGAGAGCTCTTGCATTCGTACGGAAAAAACGCATTCTCACGTACACAATATATGAGTACGTGTGTGTATTTATATTGTTCGCTCTGGCTGATGAATACTGAAGAATACACAAATCGGTCGATTTTGACAGCGCAAACGCACGCGCGCGCTCTCGTATATACACATTAATTCTGTGTGCTGTTGCTGTTTTTCTTCTCCTCTCGTTCCCATATACATACATATATATAATATATGATCATTTTCGAATGCAGTTTTGTGTGTTGCAAAAAGAGTGAGTGAGAAGGAGAGTGAATTTTAGTTGTTGCTTGTTCGATGTAGCATTTTCAGTTGGCAGTATTAAATGCCGTTGTGTGTCATGCGCTCGGCAATAAATTCGTTGTGTATCCTTAAACACAAATCACAACCACAATCGAACGAAGTGAAGTGAAGAGAAAAAAAAAACAATATAAACCATCCATTTGGGAGAGAGAAACGAAAAGGATAAAATTCTCTCGGTCTCTTTCGTAGCAGCAAAGTGCTGCTCTTGGTGTTGTTTGACTCTCGATGATGGTGCTATTTAGTCATTTAAAGTAGTGTTCAAGTCAAGCAACGACGTCAACGTAGTTTGCTTGAGTTGTTCACAAAGCAGTCAATTCAATGAACACCAAAGCATTCATTAGCATACTGAAGAAGAAAGAATGAACAACAACAAAAAACAACCGTAATACGATGAAAAAAAAAACGAACCCAATATAATCACATACAAACGAACGGTGCACTGATAACAAAGTTTAGAGAAGAAAAAAAAAAGAATAACGAGCGAGTAAATTAAAAAAGAAGAAAAAATCATATCTGGACAACGTCAAAACATACAATCGAACCGGTCTCTTGAATAATGTAAAGAAATTTTTTCGTTTAACGTGGACTTTTCCGAATCAATTTTCCAGTTTAGTTGCAATTGGCCAGTGTGTGTGAGTTTTTTGTATCGAAATCATATACATACAGAGAGAAAATAACAGTGAAAGTAGAACTAAAAGCGAAGAGAAAGAGAGAGCGTGAGTCAATCAAGACTCAAACGTCCGTTCTATATTACGATTTTGGAATGAGCAATTGGGTGCTCTGGATTTTTGTCTTTAGTCATCGGTGTGACTAATCGGATTTGAATATTACACACGAAATATTGCACGAATTTTTTTTTGTTATTGGGATATTTTGTCGTTTGTTTTATCTTTGAGGGAATTCTGTCGGTCAGACCCAACTCGGTCTTTTTTTTTCTAGTGTCAAATATTCTTTTTCTTCACATTTTTCCGTTCGTTACGAAATTTGAACCGAGGACAAAATCAGCAGTAGCGATACATTTACAAAAAAAAAATCAACAATAGCATCTCATGAAATAAACAAAAAAACAAAAGAAAAAGAAGTGAAACAGTTACGATAGCAACATGAATTATGTCTAATCACGATAATCGCATTTGATATGTTTTAATTGTTGTGTATCGATTCGTTGCTGCAACTTAACAAAATAGAAAGAACAGCAAGACAGAAAAAAAAACACACACAGAGAGAACGAACGAAAGAAAACTACGTTCACGTAGTTCGTGTGCGATACGTGTTTATGAAACGTCTCGTAACTTCTGACACACACTCAACCAGTGTAGAGGGCTGTTGATTCACTTCGTTCCACTGTATTATTTCGTTGGCTGCTGCTTTTTGCTTCGGTCGCTTTCGGGGTGGTGTTTATTACGGTGGTGGCGTGCAGTATAACGATTTTCGACGTCTTTAACAAACAATTAAAACGCGCACCGTCCTCAATATTTTATCAGAAAACGGAAATCTAAATGAAAAATCGACCAGATCGACGCAACGATTTAAACGAAACGACAGAGAAAAAAAAGGACACACCAACGCGTTAACATCAATCGTTGGGCAGCATTAAATTAATGACATAAGCATAAAAAAAAAATCTACAAAGGAAACAAGAGAGAGAGGGAGAACGAGAGAAGACAAATAAGTAAAATACACAAAACCAAATATATAAATAGAATGAAATCAAATAAAGTGAAGCAAAATTATTCGAAGTATAAGAAGGTATCGACAAACATCAAAGGTGATTTGCTATTGGATGATAGTTTTTTATCGAATCATTCCAAAGACGATTCACTATCAACTGACGCGGTAAGTTTTGGCTCACCAAGAGCTGATATGATTTTTTTGTTTTTTTTTTTTTAATTTAAGTTCACGAAACATATTCGATGGGGGAAGAAAGAGAGTGGGCAGAAAAAAATTACCAGAAATTTCAAGTATTTGATGATTTAGTTTTTGCTTTTTCTTTGTAATTTCGCTTTTTTTTACTTTTTCTTCTGATTATCCAACCATTTTAAATGGTTCTGTCGCGACATCAGTTCTTTTCAAACTCACAAGATACTTTTCTGTTTGAAAAGGAATATCAAGAATCTTTGAAATGTTCGTGTCTTCGGTTATTTTTTCTCCATGCGCTTTTAGGGAATGCAATTTGTCTTATGGGTAACATATTGCATTTCTCGTTCATTCGAGCGTTTTTTTTTGTGTATGTGCCTTTTTTTGTCGCTTATCCTTTCGCATTTCTGTGTCTTTTTTTTCCGTTCGGGATTGCAATCCAGTCAATGAACTCGCATTCGAAGTCGGCGCTAATTTTTGCAAGCTGACATGGTAATCTCCATCAACTGACAAACATTGTTTTATTCTACTAAATGGAAACTTGATGAAACTGTACAAATATTTCGACATTTTATGTTTTTTCCGTCCAACTTCTCCTTCCATTTCGCATTTAAATCGGATGAAATTGCATGTGCGGCATTTTTCGTTCAGCATTCCTTGTGCCCGTGCCTTTTTGTTTCGGGATGCGGTTTTTTCTGTTGTTGTCGTTGCCGAGAGATAGATAGAATATGAAAAATTGTTTGTGACAAGCCATTAAGAGTGATGAACATTTTCAAATTTAGTTGATGCACACACTCATGGACAGAGCGTTCCCCGCATAAAAAGCGAGTCCAACAACTAACAACACCAGTGTAGCAGGAGCACAAAAATAGTGGCGATGAGATTTAAGCCAGATGCCTCATTCACAATCGATATCGCATCACAAGCCAAATAGTAAACAAAAGTGTGAATACGATGAATCATTGCATAGCACTTCTTCTTACCCCCTCTGATTTCCACATGATGGGCCAAAACGTTTGTCTGCCTTATTGAGAGCACATTTCATCGAATGAATATGTTGAATTTTTCAATAGTTATAGTGGCATCAGTATATTTAGCAGCGGCGAACATCGAAAATTGCCAATGTCAAATCAACCTCCACGGTGTATGGCAACAGCAATAGCACAACAATGTACTCTGCACACAGCAGAGTGCACACATTCGACAGTTGTCGTTCATTTTGGAATCGGAAAATGTGTTGACGACACACGTGCTGTGTATGTGCTAGTCTCAATTCACTGATTGAGTTTTTCGCATATCACCTCCAATTTTGCACCACGCATCGAGTGCACACAACCGAAGCGAGCGGAGAAAGAGCGAGAGAGAGAGAGAGACATTCGAGAACAACTGATTTTCAATAAAGCTCACTCATTCAAGAGTGCTTTCCATCTTCTCGCTCTCGATACACAATCACCACAAACATTTCAAGCACTATGAACATTCAACATTTCAATCTCTCTTATCATTTCGACATAATGGCACTTTGCCGTGTGTGTATCCGCAAAGCAACATGTTTCAAATATATCTATTTAGAGAGTGAATGAATGCAAGAGAGAAAAGAGTGGCTGTGTCGTGTTGCGTCGACAACAGCAGCAACCAAAAAACAACAACAACAACGATGACGATGATAAATAAATTTGGTGTTTTGGGTTTTCGCTCGGCTTGCTTCTCGTATCTCATACACCGAAACTCTACTTTGTGGTCACATTGCCGAATGACTCTCGCCTTTTTCTTTCCGCAGTCAAAACACTGATTATGGTGTGTGTGTGTGTGTGTTTATTTTTCGAAACAGGAGCTAATTTGAAAAATTTGTTATATATATATACTGAAGCACCGAGAAAAAAAAGCCACACACGCGCCAAATACGAAATTTGTGATGCGATTCGACGTCTGACACTAATCAAAATAAATGATGGTTTTTAATGTGAAGAAAATTACCGACCACCAAATTAATTTAATGGGAAAATATGAGGTCCACATGCAATAATTAAAATCCGATTTTTTGCTGCTGCCACCAACGCTGCTGCACACATTTCCATTCAAATTAATTTAGCTCCAACCGAAAACTATTTGCAGCCAAATGTTGTGCAAATGCAATCGGGATCATCGAAATTGAATTGGCATTTCTACCGAGTTGTTCCTTCTCTCTCTCTCTCTCTCTCTCTCTCTCTCTCTCTCTCAGCCTCCATCTTTGTGTTTCTGTTTATTTTTGTGGTCAATGCAATTGACATTACCAGAACACCAATTCCACAATGTCAGCTTCACGGGGAGTACAGAAAAAAGTAGAAGCGTTGAAGTCGTACAAATTTATTTCGTTTTAAAATGATTCACTTTCCAGATTCAGCAATTCAGACAAAAAAAAAAACCAGCGAAACATATAATTTGACTGTTATCACAGAGATAGAAACAAAACTGGGAATCATTCAATTGAATTATATCGCAGGCCTGTATTTAAACGACATTCAAAAAAAAGCGGAAAAAAATAGAAAATAAGACCATAGTTAAAGGCATTTGGGCATAATAATGTAGAAAGAAAACTAAAAAACACACACAGAGACTTGAACATACAAAATTATAGTAAAAGAATACAATCACTAACTACTATTTGAAACATCAAAACCAAAACGTCCATTATAGTGGGTTTTATTTAGTAAGGCTTTATTTAATTTCTCATTTTATTCGATTTTCGTGAGATGTATAATTTGTTCTCTCTCTCTATCGTCACCGTGTATCATCACGGTGTAGAGTGTTTAAAATGACCGCGGCATATGCCATTGTTTGAAACATTGTAACAATAAATTTGTTTTTGCGCACACACACACACACACTCACTCAAATGAGTGATTGAGTCAGAGCGCAAAAAAAATGTGAGAGAGAGAGAGAGAGAGAGAGAGAGAGAGAGAGAGAGAGAAGACGAATCGTGAAACTGAAAATCCAGTAAAAACTCGTTTGTTGCGCTTTGTGTTTAATTGAACGCGAAAAAAAAACGCTATGTGTTGCCAGTGATTTATTTCATTTTCCTAATTATTTATTTTTGTACTTGGCATTGCATAGCCAGAATCACCCATATTCCGTGTGGTGATCGTGCTGAGCCATAAATTTTCGATAAAAATCACACCCGCATTGAGAGAATAAAAAAAAACCTGACCCATCAGTTCATGAAACTATTCACCTGTACAGTTCTGGATAGCTCTGGTGGAAAGTTGTATCGGTCTTTTTTTTATCAACTTCAATGTATGATAATGATATAGTCATGCAGCTAACTAAAAATAGATGAAACGACACAAAAAACCATTGACGACAAACGAATTATTCCGAATGATCGAGATGCCGGTCGTCGGCTAAATGACAATTTCTGTGTGTTGAGTGAGCTTTTGATCATTCACCTTTTGTTCGTTAACAATTTTTAATCATTCTCAAGATACTAATGATCTTAAAATCCATTCTCTGTCAGTCAAACAATAACAACGTGAACGGACTGCCGAATACGGAATTGTATTTGAGGGCTTTTTTTCCCTTTCTCTCTCTATTGTTTACTAAATTAAAGGCGTTAATCAATACACTAATTGTGAATGAAGTTAAACAGCTTTTTGTTGTTGAACATCGCCTGACAAACGGTATTTAAATTGTCAAAGCGATTGCGTCTGTTTATTTTGTGTTTAATGCTCACCGCAGTGAGAGACTCTCTTGTTTCGAGTTTGTTTGTAAATCCTAGTTAACAACATCTATAGAAAAAAAAGTTGTTTTTTTTTTATTTGTGATGTGGCCAGGTAAACACAGCAGTGAGTTTGACGACGACGACGATGATGATGATGACAAGAATTTTGAAAAAGCCACGGGCGACCAATTGTAGTGTGCTTTTACTTCTGAATTCTCTAAGAACCCCCTTGTGAAAAATAAATATTGGCCGGGTCGTGTGCTTAAAGCATGAAGAAGCATTTAAATTGACAATGAAAAAAAAAATGCAAAAAAAAAGAATAATCAGCATGACTTGAGTCATGGCAAAATACTGAAACGAACGAGACAAAAAAAAATAACAACAAGATATGGATAAAATGTGAAAAATAAATTGTTTGCTCGTCTCTATCAATCTCAATTTTGAATGATAAAAAAAAAAAATAACGAGAGCAAGAGACAGCGAGAGAGATATGAACACAACACGCAATCCCCACGACTGCGAATCGACAAACACTGGATATGCATACACTCATTCGAAGCGAATAAAATTAAATAAAAACTGAATCATCGAAGGTGTTTGCTTTTCGTTTTGTATTTTCTTCTCTCTTGTTTCGAAATGTCGAAATTGTGTGTGGATCTGTCTTTTGTGTTTATTTTAGTGCTATTGTACTGTGCGTCTATATCATCCTTTACCTTGTACGTACTCTCTGCGCTGTTTTCCATATATAATATTCTCATTCATACATCGGAATGAATGTGTTGCTCTGCTACATTCATTTATATATAAATTTTTTTCCGTTCCTGCGATTCGCTGCTAAAACTTTGTGTGCGTACGATCGTATTCTTGGTTGAGGTTTTTGCTGTGTGTTGTGTGTTGAAAAGCTGGAGGCGCGAGGTGCGCTCACACACAGTGAAAAGCGGTGGCGGTGACAACGGCAGCTACTACTAGCAGCAGCCATTCAATTCAAACAGAGAGAGAGAGAGAGAAAAGCGGCCCGAAAATATCTGTTTTAGTTCATAGAACAGATAGACAGTGGAGCTCCTGCCCGCTTGCCTCGTTCATTTCATATATCGCATAGTGTGCACGATACACATCAGCCATTTCAACTTTGAATCTCAATCGCTAAGCGCGCGCTAATAATAACGAAACCGACGTGAGCTGTAAGGAAATCGGCCATCAGTGAATCAGTTTCATCGCGTAAATTAAACCAATCAAGACGTGTGAGAGAAGTAGAGAAGAGAAATCAAACCGTACGACGAACCGCGTGATGATTCGGCAAAATAAAATTTTCTACATTTTTCCGTGGAAATAATAATTTCGACATTTTCACATATGTGCGAACACGCTACTGGTTTAACACGCATAGATAACCGGAATCAAAAGAAAGAAAAAAAAGTAACCAAAAAATCAAATGGAACAAAATTTTCCGGAAAAAAGCCAAAATCAAGAAGTGCTTCGCATTGTTGATTAAGTGACATTTTTCCAGCTTCAGCTAGCTCTTTAGTGATGCAATTTGCAATACTCGAATCAAGATGACAAATGGCTTGAACACACACACACACACACAACAGCTCTGCAAGAGTGAACTGCATTTTCGCAGAAAAAAAAACGAAAACAGAGAAAAGTTAACGGAAAAAAAGCGCAACCCCACTAAAACCAATTGAAAGTTAATGCATACAAAAGAACGAACGAAAATAAAAAAAACAATTCTCAAAGTGTTCTTTTCATTCGGCATTAATGGATGTGAAACCGTTGTAAAATCAATAATTCAACGACGTTCAAACCCGTTTAATGGTTAAATCAGAGCATTGTTATGCTCGGTTCTTATTTGTTTGGTGCAGCCGACAGTTGGTGCATTTGAAAAGCCAGAATTCTTGATCGAAGAGTGCATGTATTTCCGTTTTTGCAGCGATAACCAACCCGTTTACATATCATATCCCCGTGTGTCTTTGTCTATGACTGTGCAACTGTGTATATTTAGTTTTTGTGTTGTCTGTGCTTTGTGGAGCAAAAGAGGAACAATCCATGTTTCACATAAACCGCTCCATTTCCATTCCACTTTGTGGAAATCGCGTCAAACAGACGAAATCGAACGAAGACAAATTCAGAAACGCGCGGATTATATTCCTATTACGACCAATGAGTTTTCCCATTGAATTCATTCTCGGCTGTCGCTTTGTTTTTTTCCCTCTATCGTGTTCATATGCACTGCAGCAGTGCATATGTTTTTCGCGCGCGCACGACACGAATAGAGACACACATAGAACAAGCTTTTTTCTTCGCTTCGCTTGATATATCCCAATGTATACAGTCATTTATGCAAATAAACGTATCATCGGTTTCGTGCTAAATTAATTACAGTTGAATAACTTTTTCTTTATTCATACTTTCCATCCATTGAAAGCATTTGGCCCGATTCTCGTCCATCCGTTTGTTTCGCACGCTGTCGGCTCTTGCCATGCCGATCTATATATATATATATATATATGCATATTAATGATGATGTTTGTGAATTATGATGGAAAATATATTCTCGTTCATTTTCATTTCCAAGTAGCAAGATGAATGACATGTTTCACATTTCTTCCATTTCTTGTGTACGCATATTTAATCGATGTGCCTTCTGCCATTCTTTTCTATGCAAACTCGGTATGAAAAAAAAGTATCGAGAATGAATTTAATGCACACAATGGCGCTTGCATAGCCCCGTTGAAATATTTACTCATTAATCTAAACTCGGCAAATATGCTGCACAACAACAATCAAGACAACGACAACCACGGCTACTGACTTCGGCTACAAGCTAAAATGCAGCAAACACACGAAATATTTTCCGAAACCCATTCTTTAGTCGTTTTGCGAATCGAGCGAATGCAGAATTCCGGCCTTACTATAGCAACACAACTCCAATTATAGTCGTTGTTCTTCGTTTTTTTTCTTCCTCCGCTGGACTACAAACCGTCTCATTCAATGCAGCAGAAAGTTTTCCGTTCGCAATTAAAGGAACATTTCAACAATAAATCTTCCATTAAAACTCCCCCTCGTCCCCCTCTTACAAAATCTTAATTTCATGTTCTGGACATGGAATTTAGTTTCTAGTTTATAAGGAAAAAAAAATTCGATCCATTTTAACTTGACATTTTTCTTCGGGATTCTCTCTTTTTCATTTAACAATCGGATCAATTCCGAATTAATTTTTTTTACATTGTGTACAAAGAAGTGTGCCTATTTTGAAAATCATTGTTCGTGTGCCATAGGTCGAACAACTCAATTTGTGCAAATATCGAACCATTAAAGCTGGCTGCTCAATGAGCAATGCTCATTCCGAACAACGATCGATTCTATGTGTGTGTGTGTGTGTCTATATATAAATGTGTATGTGTACATTTGATTTTAGGACAGTGACGCATCGCACACACATTTCGAGGAAATGAAATATCGATAGATATCATTCGTGAATTATGACTATATTATGAAAAAATCCAATTATTAAGCGGAAATTTGCAGGTGCTGTTAGTTTAAATTATATAGAAGCGTCGAAAGGTAAACGAGCAGCGAGTGAGATAGAGGGAGAGAGAGAGAGAGACACTCGAATTAGTGATAAATCGGCAGTTGCATTGTGTGTTGATAGTGACGGTGCATTTGCATATATGCAAACAGTAAAATAATTGAAAATCCAATCACTTGTGCCACAGACATCGGGACGAGATGACGGCGGCAACGGTGGAAAATGATAAGAATGTGACCAATGACAAAAAAACCACAGACAACGCGGTAAATCATGTATACACACACATATTTTCTATCCAATCATAATGTTGATAACAAACTCAATAATTTTCATATCGAAAAAAAAAAAAATTATAACCAACCCAGATCGATTAGCCTAACATTATAGCATTAAACGTGTGCATTAAAACGAATTATTTTTCCATTAGACATTAAAATAATTTAACAGCCCAGAAAATGGATTTTGTATTTTTTTTCTCTTTCGTTCGAGAACACATTCTCGATAAGTTGAATTTAATGATGATTTTTTTTTTTCGCCTTCAATTTTATGACGAACATTTGTTTCAAATGCAAAATTGTGTACACATTTTGCACAATAGTACCGCCGAAATTGAAAAATACCACAACAACAACCACAATAAATTTTTTTTCTGTTCAAAACATCCATTTCATTTTATGTCTTCCTTGGATGAGAACAAAACAACGCTTGAAAATAGGACTTTCTCAAACCGAGTGATGCTCGACTAAAAAACGAATAAATTAATATCAAAATTATGTCGAGTTTTCAAGAGTTTATGAATAAGAACAGTATAAAAAAATGTGTGTGGTTGTGAATCGTTGACTTCATCATTTAAACCGTTGAAAAGTGAAAGAAAGAAAAAACCGTTTTTTGTTGCCTCCTTCTATTTCAATGATGATGACGAAAGAGAAAGAAAAAAAGCACACGCATACATGTCGAAGAGTTAACGACGAGTGGGAACATGGAAAGCATAAGCTACCAATTACATACTTTTCCTTTCGGTTTCAATGATATCAAAAAGGGAGACCGTACAAATGCTCAGCATAATCTGGTGTGTTTTTTGTTGTTGTTGTTTCTGCTACGAAATGATTCACTTTGACTGCGCGCACCGAAAGCATATACTTACAAAGCGGCTTTCTTTGTCTAAAACTCCACTAGTTTTAATTGAGGGCGAACGACGAGAAAATTACGGACACAGGAAAGTGCATGTGTGCACAAACAAAGAGAGCGCAGGGCTATGACTTCGTGTATGCTTTTTGAAATACACGAGTGAATCTCCCAGTAATGGGAGTGAACAAGAACGAAATAAAAAAACGAACGAATCGATTTGAATGCAAAAACACGTTTTGCGTACGAAGATGATGTGAACGTTTTTTTTTCTCTCTTCTACGACGTTTTCATTTGTGATGATGATGATGATGATGATGATGATGCACGCAGTTATTATGGCTACTGAACGGGATCGACAGACAAGGAGACAAGACAGATCGAAATACGCGTATCAAAAACATGGAACCCGTGAAAATAAATGGTGTGAATGGATATTTTTAGATTCATCAACTCCATGTGTTCCGACTCAATTATGATACTTAATATCATTTCGGGTTTTGTTATTTCAGATACTCAGTGTACGAATTTGATTCTCACGCAAAAACAACATAGAACGGTTTACGGACGTTTTTCAGGACATTTGATATATGATGGCCGCAAAAAAAATGTGGCAAATTATTTTGTTTTCGCCACTTGAAATTCTATTCTCTCGATGCGTATTTCATTGTTGTTGTGGTCGTCTCACACGCGCTCTCCTCCAGAAAATTGGCAACGACAACAATGAAAAACAACATTTACGCAACCAACCACACGGAATAACAGAGAAAACAACAATTTCAATTCGCAGAAAAGACGTTTAGCAAACAAGGTTTCATCGGATTAGTCAGCACATATATACGACAAAAAGCGTCAATGAAATTGAAATAAATTGTGTCTGTGTAATGCGCTCGATATAGAAATGACATAAAATTCAAATACGTCCATTTATAATTCAGTTGAAACGATCAATGCAACCTTCGCTATGGCACGCTCTTGCACTCACAGCAAAGCAATTTTTGCCTTTGTTTGAGTATCAATGAAAAGAAAGTCGTCCCGGTCAAAGACACAAATCATTTTACGCAAAACAAAAGGGGCAAGATAGACAGAGAGAGAGAGAGAGAGAGAGAGAGAGAGAGAGAGAGAGAGAGAGATAGAGAGTGTGTCCAATCAAGAGTGAAAAGAAACATTCTAGATTTTCATCGAATGATTTTCGCAAAACAATCGTAACAATAAAAACACATATGAAAATTCAAAAGTCATGACGTGGCTCCATCTAAATTATGAATACTTTATTCAACTAGAATAGCTTTAGCTGTCATTTGGCAGTCGCAACGTCAAGCGTTGTGTATAGATTGTTCTATAGTTTTGGTGCAGCCTTTGCTTAGTCGGTCAATGACAGCTGTAATCATATGACTCGTGTGTCATTTCTCGTTTGTTTTTTCTCTGTCCTCTTTTTCTAGCCAAAATATAAAATAATTTATTCATCACTTGCATGCATATTAATTGATTTCGTTCGTCAGCGGGATCATCGGTAATAATATAATAAAATTAATCCATTGCCGACATTCGATTCATACTCCCCATCTGAATGTATCAGAAAACAAAAGAAACATTCGTGATAGAAATCAGCTGATAAGACTACGAGACGAAAAAAAAAACGAATAAATGTGCCCCATTCGTATATCTCTCTTATTATTGACTGATTTCTCAGTAGCCACGCCAAAAATGAATGACACTGGCCATACTCATTTAAAATAGGTTGCACAAGTGCCGAATACATAATATCAAACAGTAATAGCACATTGCTTTAACCTGACCCATTAGTGTCCATTGTTTGTGTGTGTGTGTGTGGGGGGATGTGTATTGCATTCCCAATATATCCATAATACATGCCATTAGTCCTAGTCAATCCTGATAAAATCTACATAGCGACCTCCCCGAGCCGTACAAAACGTGTAACAAAAGTGAGGATTCAACTGAATTGATAAAATCGATTTGATTTGCACATGGATCGAATTTTTGTCCAAAAAAAAAAACATAATAAAACAAACACCTTGAGCTTCAACTAACCGAGAATAACAAAAACGCACGGTTCGGCTCGTGTGCTTCGTAAATTTCCATCGACAAAAAAAATAAAACATTCCAAGAGCATTTCAATTGAAACGTCAAAAATTCCATATCCGAGTTGTATAGTTTGCATAACTAATTTGCGTTTTATCAAATCCCATGTAAAATGGTCTTGAATTGACGGCGTACGTATAATATTCCAGTCATAATAATAAATACACAAAACTAACTCACATCATTTGCGTTAATACTGTTTGGAACAGAACACATATTGGATCAAGGAAGAAAAAAAAGAATAGACGAATTTAAATTAAGGTGAGCGGTTTTTTTTTAGAGCACCGAAAAAAAAATTCAGAGAATCGCGACAAAAGGAAAGTGTGTAGACGAAAAATGTGATAGTTGCGTATGAAGACGATCGAATGGTTTACGCACAAGAAATTTTGAATAGAAACGGAGAAGCATTTTGGCAGAAAAAAAATCATATCAAATAGTTCTTTTCTGCTTCGTCACTTACTCTCTTCGTTCTATCACTCGTCAGCTACTGTAGCCCGCATTTGTGTGTAGTTTCAGTCATTTTTAACGTCACAATGGAAGTAGAAAAAAACGGTAAAAACAAATCAATTAGAAGGATATAAAAACGATTATGAATCAATTGATAACAAAATAACAAATCACGTGTGAAACAAGGTCATAAATAGACCCACCTCGAGTATCATCCAACTGTACGCTTCACTTGAACTAGGTCCATTTATGACTTTGGTAAATATTGGTGTGGATATTGAAATTGACCAACTGACTGAGAAAATCTTACAACAACTTACCTACGGGCTTAAGCCGTATTACATCGTGTATTTGCACACACATTTTAATGTACAAAGCCACAAAAATCAAGCTTTGATAATAACTAATCGTTAATGTTTTATTTTATTCTCTTGATCTACGCTCTACTTTTCATCGACAGCATTTGATTGGCCGACTCGATTGGTCATCTCGACATTTTGGCCATATCCTTTCTGGTGGTAACACAAATGATTCGTGCACATTCAAGTCGAAAACCATACAACGGCCTAGAATGAACGAATTGAACTCGAAATTGAAATACAATAAAACATGAATGTGATTGTATTGTGTAGATCACATACCTCTGTACAAGATGCACTTCGCCGCACAGATGTCACGATGCCAAGTAGCAGTAAAAGCGTTCTGATCATTCATTGGGCTTGAGTGCCAGTTTTTCTGGAAGGCTATTTTCTTTGACCCCAATAACCCAATTCCTTTATCAGTTGCATCGTAATGTATTCGCTGCCATAATTGTGGTTTGGCCTTACGATTTTTGACACGAATCTTGCAAATACTTGTGTCACCAATTTTATCAAAACCTGGCAAATCGGATTCCGCTTCCGGCTGTTTGGATACTTTACGGCTGCGATGGCCTGCAACTCGACGTCGTTGACGTAGTTCACGCCGTCGTATGCGTCGATTGTACCGTCTCACTGCCTCTTCGGTATCCAATTGCTCTGGATTGTGGCTTTCGCGCTCACTTCGACGCTTTTCCCGGTGCTTCTCAGCTTTTTCGGCTCTAGTTACATTTGCTGTTGGCTTTTGGCTGGCATTTTGTTTTCGATCACGTTGCTTGCGCCGTCTGCTTCGATCAGTCACAATAACCGGTGGGAGTCTCACATCCTTGTGTGGGCGACAATCTTTGCACACTTTGAATCGGTCACTTTTTGTGCTTCTCGGAAATCGCCGCAAGCAATTGGCACAGGTTTGTGATGTATACGGCTCTGGTGTAAGCACAACATCCGTTTTGCCGTTCTTTTTTAGGCTAACTATGAACTTTCGCTGATCTGGTGATCGTTTTGTTCTTTTCACACCGATTTTCGAATTTGATGGGAACGCCGCATCACCAAGGAATACAACTCCTGTCTCATTGTTTGTTATGTGTTTAGCCATCAAATCCATTTCGCGATTAGACTCGATGTACTTGTGCAACGATAGCTGTGCGTACTTTCTTCTGGCGTATGTAGCCAATGAATCTGTCAACATTTTGATTTTGTGCTTAATGAATGATTTCCATTGTGATCCTCGCGGCGATACGGATGTGATCGGATAGCTTTTCAAGTCGCGCTGTTCTTTGTGCACGTACTTTCTGGTCATTTTCGTGGCCTGTTTGTCGCGCATTCCTTGTCGCGCACCCCAGTGATATTGAATACTCGATAATTTGATGTTGGTCTGTGAAATGAACAACAACAATGCAAATCTATGTTAATTTTCATATGATATTTCAACTTACTTCAATTCCAGTAGCGAGAGTCCGACGCACGCAGGCCATTTTTGTTTTCTGGCCGGGATCAATTCCTGACTCATACTTGTAACCGCCTTTGCTGACTGGCTTTTCGTACTTTGCTTTGATTTCAGACAGAGTCACGCCGGCTCCTTTGCGTTTGGGTCTGCTAAACAACACCGACACGGCACTACTGTTGGTTTGAATTTTGTGGTGAAACTCTTTCGAACCGGTTCTGAGCTGTCTGATTTTGTCCATATCGAACACAATTCCCCATGCCTCGTCTTTGTTCTCGCCTTGCTTGTAGTATGTACGATAATCAGCACGGATATCCCTTCCCCGTTCATTTCTCAACTGGCCAATGAAATCAATCAAATCTTTATGGTCGAATGGTATGTGCTTCAGTTTTGTATCACAGAGTGGAATAGCGGCGAAATTCTTCACTTTTGGTATCTTCGGTACCGACGGCTCTCGATTGTTCACTGGATCACGATCGTATGCTTTCCACTGTTCACGAAGGTGAGCCGTATCGATCAAAAATTTCTCGACAATTCGTTGCATGCCTATCCACATCCACAAAGACTCGAACCAGTCCTTTTGAATGTATTCGTACATTGTGAAGTATTTTACGAATGATGGGCCACAAAGCTGAGACACTTCCTTAAACAGTATTTCCATCTTCGACTTTCGACTTTCATCATCATCATAAGTCCAATCTTCATTATACATCAAATTTTTCATCGTATTTCGAATGTCAATGTCATCGAAAGGCAAGTATGATGCATCATAAATAACGCCAAGTGGGCTTCCTTTGTGATTGAATTCATGGCACTTTACACGTAGAAAGTGGGTCAATCTCACCCAACAGTGCGTCTCCAAATTTGTCTTCACATTGGCCACATACTGGTCCTTGAGAGCATAAACTTGGCGAGTCATTTGATGGCGGCGTGGCCATTCAAAGTTGGGGCTACCTTGGGTCACCATCGCGAGAAATGCGTCTGGCATTTGGGCTGTGAGTGGATCGTTGATGTTGTTCGATGTGACACAGTTGAAACAGTCTGTAATCAAATTTGCTCCGTTTTGATTCACGAAGAAGTCCAAATTGCCATCATCAAATGCTTCGTTAATTGTGTAGAGCATTAACATCGATGCAAGATGCATGACTTTCGTAGCATTCAAACATTTCTCGAAGAACTTATGGATCAGAAATTCTCTTTCTGTTTCTGTTAACTTCGGATTAATTATCGAATTAAATGCCAATTTGATCGCGCCGATTTCGATTGTGCCATTTTCTGTCGACTGTTTTTCTGGATCTTCTTTCCGATTGACACGTTTTTTCTTCACAATTGAGTGCTTTTTCATCTGGACTTTGTTCTCCCTTGGCTTACCAAACGTCTTATTGTGCCGCTTACGCCTCGCCATTGCGATGGATCTAAACGAGAGAAAATAAATTGTAGAACGAATGAAATGTTTGTTGCAAGCGATTAGCGATTGTGAAATTGGTTAACGCTACGGAAATCGAGAACAATGCACTGATTGATCGCTTTAAACGAATACGATAACAATGTGATGATATTCATCAGTCCGTCGCCAT